GTCTACCCGCTATTGTTTCTTGAGGAATTAAAAATCTGTTTTTTTTCCTGGTACTTCCTTTGTTCAAAGGGGATTATATGAGAGAGGCTACTTGGAGGCAAAGGGGAAGGGCCTCATTTCCATTACCTTTCAGCATGGAGTCAATTTATCATATATCCAGTGTTGTGCTGAACCAGAAAGAGCTGGTCATAATTTATAATTTCTGATTAATACTGGAAGGAACAATTTGTCAAGCAAAGTCTAAAAATACATACTTAAACATATTGAACAACTAAGAAATGTATAATAAAAAGAGTTGTGAATGCTTTTTAGAAATCTTGGTTTTAATCATCTAAACTGAACGGCCCTGATACAACACAAATGAAGCAGTAGAATATTCCGTGCATGTACTTTAAAAAAAAGAAGAATCCATAATAAGGGTTATTTAAGGATACTTCCTGTTTCTGAAGTAAGCGGCTGCTTGTTCTCAAAAGAAATCAGTAGGGCTATTTGAGAACGATTAACTTGGATAATACAGCCTTATTTTTTGGGGGGAATAATCTGTGTCAGGGTGGATTTGATTCAAATCGAGTTGATTTAAATCACAATTTAAATCATGATTTAAATCACTAGTAAAAAGGCTTGATTTAAATCAACTCGATTTAAATCATAATTTTTAAAGAGCAACTGTCACCTCTGCTACTCCTTTGACCCACTGTTGACTCACCGATAGTCCCAGTGTTGCAGAATATACAGCCTCATGCTACATAACTAAGCTCCATTTCATGCTGAATAAACTAAATTATTTATGTATCTTAAATAGAAAACTATCTTATGATAGATTTTTACCCCAAAAGTTTTTTATTAAAATAAATTCGATAAAAATAAAAAAAATCCGATTTAAATCAAAAACATCCAATTTAAATCAAAAAATCTGATTTTTTTGATTTAAAAAAATCATTGATTTTTATCCACCCTGATCTGTGTCAAAACGCTGGTATTTTCTGAACAACATACCTGAGTGTTGCTGGCCATACCCTTTTTCTGAATCATGAAAGGGTTTTTGATTCTGGCAAGATGACATCAATTCAAACAGAGGTGGGTTTCAGCAGGTTCTGACCACTTCTGGAGAACCGATAGGGGAGTAGTTCGGAGAACCGGTAAATACCACCTCTGACTGGCCCCGCCCCCATCTATTCTCTGCCTCCCGAGTCCCAGCTGGTTGGGAGAAAATGGGGATTTTGCAGTAACCTTCCATTGGAGTGGGGAGGGAATAGAGATTTTACAGTATCCTTCACCTGCCACACCCACCAAGCCACGCCCACCAAGCCATGCCATGCCCACCAAACCACACCCACAGAACAGGTAGCAAAAAAATTTGAAACCCACCACTGAATTCAAAGCACTGGAATTATGTGTCAGTCTAAAATGTCTATAGCTGTCACACGAAATGCGATGCTAACTCTAAACCGGATGAATGGATGGATAGATAGATGGATGGGTGGATGGAAGGACGGACGGACAGACAAGCAAGGGCAGAAATGTAAGATTGAGTTAAAGACCCCCAATCAGAGGTGGGTTTCAGCAGGTTCTGACCGGTTCTGAAGAACCGGTAGCGGAAATTTTGAGTAGTTCGGAGAACCGGTAATAAAAATTCTGACTGGCCCCACCCCCATCTATTCTCTGCCTCCCGAGTCCCAGCTGATCAGGAGGAAATGGGGATTTTGCAGTAACCTTCCCCTGGATTAGAGAGGGAATGGAGTTTTTACAGTATCCTTCCCCTGCCACGCCTATCAAGCCACACCCACAGAACTGGTAGTAAAAAAATTTGAAACCCACCACTGCCTCCAATGCAGAATAAGTAAGCTTAAATTGTATATAAGAGAATAACATTATCTAAGAAGCAGTTTATATGGGGGCTACAGGTAAGGGTATTTTTACCTTGTTTTTAGCAGTAGTGAGTGGAGGATTATGTTTCAGATTGCCACTTTCAGTTTTCTACTGCAGATTTTGAACTGCAGGATTCAAGCAAGTCTGCAATTTTTGTTAGACCCTGCCTTCAGGCTGGTTGGGGGAAAAAAAAAAGACATTTCAGCTTCAATTGGCATGTAATGGGATATGCCCATTAGTGTGGTCCTTCGCCACCCAGAGTCATTGAGAGTCGAAAGGCATACAGGTTTAATAAGTTTTAAATTAAATACAAGTTCAGTAAATCAAATTACTGCCATCCTTGTAAATAGAACAGATGTCTAGGTCAGGAATGCTTTCGGATCATAATCCAGGAAGATTCTGCGCTGTGAACAGCAGAGGGCAGGACTAACTGGAAAAGCCCTGTTAATATACGCCAATTCAAAATGTGAACTTCACTTCTGAATAGAGCCTTGTTCTGCCAAGGAATCTTTAAACATCTGGGATGAAAACTATAGATTCAGTGACATGATCTAAGGCGGCACATTTAGCATATGCAGGATACTGTCCAAGCTTGCTGGCCTATTTATTGACCCATGTAAACTATAACCTAAAGCAAACTTTACATACCTTTATAGCTGCATATAGCAGGGGAGTGTCATGCATAATGAGAAAATTGGTTTTTTTTTCCCCCCAAGGGGAAAAAAAAAATCATCATTGGAGTTAATGTGGTTTGGTGGTTAAGGTTTTGAACTGGGATTGAGGAGATTTGGTTTCCCATAAAACCAGTAGTTTACTGATCCTCTGGTCTAGACATTTTTCTAGTTCTGTTAAAGTGAGGGGAATCCTCCACTTATGTATACTATCTTTAAGTTACCAGAAAAAAATCTGAATATAAAATAACCAATATTAATAGTTAATAATTAAATACATCAAATACTTTGGCCACCTAATGAGAAGGAAGGACTCACCGGAGAAGAGCCTAATGCTGGGAAAGATTGAGGGCAAAAGAAGAAGGGGACGACAGAGAATGAGGTGGCTGGATGGTGGAGTCACTGAACCAGTAGGAGTGAGCTTAAATGGACTCCGAAGGATGGTAGAGGACAGGAAGGCCTGGAGGAACGTTGTCCATGGGGTCGCGATGGGTCGGACACGACTTCGCAACTAACAACAACAAATTAAATACAACTACTTATTAAGTATCCAAGGAACATGAGTGTTCCTCAGAATGTGTCTCCTTAGATCTTTGCAGTGCTCTAGCGGCTGAATTTCAAGGCACAAAAACAGGAAAAAAATGTTGCAACATTTCAATCCCATGACATGAACCAGATTCAGAAGTTATAAAGTTCTTCATGTAGGTTTTAGCCACGCTTTCTTGTAGAAATATATGGGCCACTTAGAGCTTTCTTGTTTTGTCTAAGCAAATTCTGATCATCCATTGAAATTGTCTCTGCTCTTAATTCACATTATGATTTTGCGAAGAAAGTAAAATCAAATGGCAATATTTCTTGATTCCCCACCTCCTTATTATCTACTTGAAGGAAACTAGAAAGGGTTCATAGCATATAGGGGTTAGGATCGTATGATCTATGATTTGGATCCAGATTGTATCCAAATCAAAGATCAACGACTTCACTTTCAGTACAAATTTGATTATTTCACTTAATTTCAGTACTGTATCTGGAGTGTAAAATAGATATCGATCTACAGTAATATCTCACAGTCCTTTATTTTCACTTGTTTATTAGTGGAAACAGCCAATAGATAATCAAACATTTGTAGGAATTATTGAATAATAAAGCACTGTGTTCTTTACAAAGCAGAAACAAGATGATAAATCTGGATTATTGCTGACTTGCAAGGCGGCTGCAGATAGTTGCTTTTCTGCCAGTGGATATGAGTCATATTCATGCTGAAGTTCATGTCCTTCCAGCACCAGCTGTCAGGGTTTCCCAAGTCAGCAATATTATTAGACCCCCTGAATATTCCAGCTGCACTCAGCAAGGGTTGCAACAAATACGGAGATGGTGAAGCTAGGAAGCAGCCAAACACAGCATGAGCCTCTCTACCCAGATCCTGAAAGGTTCTTTGGGTGGCCAGCTGTTCCCATTGCTGTCATTCCAACAAGCAGAAGCAAGCAAGGGAGGTTTAAGGGGTCTGGGAGCCATGTATAATAGTCAGATGCAAAGCAAGAAAAGGAAAAGAAAGTTATGTATAAAACTGGCTTGTTCCGATGATAACGCTTGATTTTGTGTGTCTTACAGGGTAGCAATAGCCAAATCAAAGTTATATTAGAATCTGGCTTGTTTTTGAGGAAGATTTCTTTATAACTTTGGGGAAGGAGAAAACCGGAAAAAAATTCATGGAATCCAGCTAACCCTAACCTTCCAGCTAATATAGAGAGTGTAATATCTTTGGTTAAATTTCAAGATCCATTTGTGCCTCCATAATTTGTAACAGCATCATGGACTACTTAGAATTGGTCTTATACAGTTTATTTTTATTTTATTTATTTTATTTATTTATTTATTTATTTTGTCAAGCATGTATTTTATGACAGATACAAGTGTAAACATAATTATACATACATGAAAAGGATACGAAGAAAAGAAAACATTAGGACAGGGATGGCAGGCACGCTGGTGTGCTTATGCACGCCCCGTACAGACCTCTTAGGAATGGGATGAGGTCTACAGTAGACAGTCTAAGGTTAAAGTTTTGGGGATTTGGGGAAGAAAAAAAAGTTAAGAAGTTAACTCTCAGTTTTATGGACTCCAGTTTAGCAGACATGAAACCTCTGCGCATTGCCATGTTATGCCTACATAAAAAATCAATTTGCCTTATCGCACACCTATGTCAAATATCCATGAATAAAATCCTATTCATATTTAATAGACAATTGGTTAACTGGGGCTTCTCCCCATTAGGCAGTAAAATTAAGGACCGACTGTAATCTTTATCCCTAGATGTTATAAATGCCGATAATTAATGCAGGTGAATTAATAAACTTCTGTAGAGGACCAACACTGGATAAGAGCATTATATTCTGCGGGGAGGGGGTGAAAACAGGCTTCAATTTGACTCATAGATTATTCCTTTTGATTTTGCAACAGGGAAGGCTGCTTCTCCCCAATCAGTCCGGAGACATGTCCACTGGTACAGTCCTTCCTTTCTCCAGCTCGAGCATTCCTATTGGAAGGACATGTACAACTGAAGACGGGCCTGCAGACTCAGGAACGACACCTGTTCCTCTTTACTGACATCCTTGTGGTTGCTAAATCCAAGTAAGTTTCCTTGCAGAATATGTCCTCTTGATAACAGTCAACATCCCTTACTGTATTTTATGTTATGGGGTTGGCGGGAGGCTCAAAGTTGCTTTGCTTTGCTTACTAACATTTAGATTTCTTTAAATTATATAACAGGACATTAGATGCAAACAGAAGGTTGGGTGGTTGGGAGGCTATAGTTAGCAAAAATGAATAACCTTTGTTATTCTGTGTGGGTTTTCATTACTAACCAATGTGCTCATCTGAAAAAGAGAGGAGCCCCATTCGATTTGTGACGAGGGCAGAAAGATTGAGTGAATGCTGTGAAATGTTTTTGCTTCTTCACAAGGTAAATAATCAAACAATGTGAAATTCTGGGTCATTAACCTGCAGGGGATTGGGAAGTCAGAGGACTCCAATGCCTGTCACCTTTCAGTTTCCTTCTACTTTGTTTGGCTTTAAAATTAAATGATGCTAGTGCTGTTAAGTAGTTGAATGTGGAGCTCCGAAAAAGCCCCTTCATTTATCTGTGTCTAACGTGACCTTTGAGAATGCTTCTTCAAACTAGTAACTACTGGTAGTAACTTCATAAATTGTAGCTTAATGAAAAAAGAAACCAATTCTTCTCTTGCTGTTGTACGGCCTTATACAGTCTTAAGTTACTGGAAATGGAAATATCCTTTTATGGTTTGCAAAGAGAGTCAGTCTAGCTGTGTTCTGCTAAGAATTTAGATTCGGCATTTATCTGTACGATTACAAATATTTTCAGGGCTTCAGAAAAGATGTCTCATCGGTAACATCACGTTAGATGTTTAACTGTGATTAAGGGGTCACATATCGTTGGGAGCACTGTTTGCTTAAACGTCTTCTCCATCCTTTCAGAGAAGTTTTGCCCCTCCCCAAACTTTTATAAAGGCAACCAGGTATTCACTAAACAGAGATATTAGATTAACTGAGAAACCCAAGTAGCTTTAACATTTACTTTGATCACCTACCACTGAAACCAGAGGAGAAGATGTTGGGAAGATGTTTCAGATTGCTCTTGATTTTTTTTTTTTTTTTTTTTTTTTTTGGCAACTGAGATTATCACTGGAAAAATACACATCATTCAAATATTTTTATATATAATTCAATTTGCTGGGAGTGTTGTATGCATGGCTTGTCCCCATGTACTCATGGTACACACTATTCTCCTTCCGTTGACTGAACAAAATAAGAATTGCATTGTTGGATCCGTACTGTCTAGTCCTGTATTTTTTTAACAGTGGCCCTCCAAATGTTTTTATGAAGCTTATAAGTAGATTAATTACTAATCTAGCCCCCAAATAATCATGGAAAGTTTCTATTTCGACTGTCCCCAGGTTTACATAATTGTTTTTTCATAGAGAAGAATGCATGGCCACAAGTTCAAGATAATCATTCAGCCTACCTCTCCTGATTCTTTGGCAAAAAAAGAGGTTTTTTATGGCTTTTCCTTCATAGTTTTTATGCATAACTGCACATGAATTGTCGCTCAGGTTTGTCTATAGCTATAAACACTGCAGTACAATGAGGTTGATATGTCAGAGTTCCAGTTCATAACTTTGATTTAATTCTGAATTGTCAGATGAATAATCGTAAGATCAGTGTCAAGCTTGAATGCACATAAACAGCTTATTCAGGCTCTGTTGTGTTTAGTAACATCTTCCAAACACTTTCTGTTAATTCAGAAGCACAAGGAAGACAAAACATTATGTACATGCTTACAAAATACTTTAGTTCCAAGAAACCTGTTTCTGAGATACAATCAGTGTTAAGGACCAGGGTTTTGTTTCTTTGAAACGAAATAAGAACTGATTTATATATCTGCTTACTTTCCCTGTTCCAGTTTTACTTTCCATAAGTGAACTCCAATTTCATTTGAACAGAAGGGTTGGGGGTTTTTTTTGGTTCCAGTGCTATTCCTGAAACTGCTTTTCCTTGGGCAAAAAAAAATCAGCCACTGATGTCTAATGACATGTAATTATCTCCTAAAGCAATGACTGGATATATACAATGAAGCACTAAGCATAAGAGCCCTATCCTTCACACGCTTTGCTAACAAAGTATTAATAAATTGCTTTGTGAAAAAAAAAATTGTTATGTTAACAGGACTGGATGATCTTTCTAGGCAGACATTTTTGTTTTCACAGTTTTTATTTTAAGAACTGGTATTTTCTCTGATTTGCATGCTAATAAACATTGTTTTTTTGCCTTCTTTCCCTCTTGGAACATTTTACTCAAGTATTATAAATTATTTTATTTTTTTTAGGTTAATCTCCTTTCATATCAGATCTTCCAATTCTGAGCGGTATAGGTAGTCCTTAACATAGAACCACAACTAAAACTCGTTGTGAGTAAATTGCGGCAGTTGTTAAGGGAAATCTGCCTTTCCCCATTAACTTTGCTTGTCGGAAGCTTGGCTGGGAAGGTCACATGATGGTGATCACATGACCCTGGAAAGCTGCAATTCTTGTGTCAGTTGCACAAATTTTGATCATGTGTCATGGTAATGCTGCGATGATTGTCTGGGGAATGGTGGTATGGCACTTTTTTTTTAAGCACAGTTGTAACTTTGAATAGTTGCTAAATGAATGATTGTAAATTGAGGAATACCTATAGTTGACTTGCTAGGCAAGACATTGTGCAGCAGCTCCATCCAGAAGACAAAGTTTTGTTGAAAACAAAGTAAGTTAGAATGCCAGAAAAGGAAGCAGACTCATTCCATCATGACCAGTTTGGAGCAACTGAAGGCCATATCTCTGTACTCAGGCTTTCCTGTGCTTTTCAACACAGAAATCTTCCTTGCAGCCTCCAAGAGGGGATAGACCAAACTCAACCGCATCACGTGACGTACCATGACGTTTTTTTGCCTTTGTGGAGCCAACGTGGGTGTGGCCTGTGCGTGACACATCCAGCCCGTAGGCCACCAGTTTGATACCCCTGGGATAGACAATCAGTTGTTCTTTTTTTTCCTCCCTTATTATCCTTAAAGGCAAATGAGCCTCCCTCCCTTGGCCTTGTGAAAGTGGAAGGAGATATAATGACACCAATGTTTTAATTCATAAGTATCAGACTTCATGGAAGCATGAAGCTTCGTTCATAATTCTCCAGCTATTTGACTCTGCATTCAGTAACTGGCTAATTGTTATTGCAGGAGTCATATCTACACAGGAGAACAATAGCTACAGAATCTAGAATGTGTCATGCTCAAGAGTGTAAACCCTAAATCTTTTTCTTGTATCTTTTGGGAAAATGGATTTTTGGCTGCTAATTTCCCATGCTGGAATGCAGAAGACATCTACTCTGGCTTATGTAATGGTCTTTCCTTCCAACCTTGCTAACATGAGCCCTCATAATTAGCCAATGTGAAGCCTTAAATGGTATATTTTAATCAAGGTTTCAACAAAGCAGTGTTTTAGTGCAACTTCATGAAGCAAGAGGCCACGTCTGGGTTCTGCATTAAAGCTGCCATGTTACATGAATTGTGGGAACCTTGGAAGGAAGAAAATAGTCTGTTTCCACATTTTAGACCAGAGGTCTCCAACCTTGGCAACTTTAAGCCTGGAGGACTTCAAATTCCAGAATTCCCAGAATTCTGGAAGTTGAAGTCCTCCAGGCTTAAAGTTGCCAAGGTTGGAGACCCCTGCTTTAGACTGTAGACAATGGAAGGGGGTCTTTCCCCCCCTCTCAAAGATAGGCACTCCAATGATTGGAAGTCAAAACAGCTCTATGAGGCAAAACTCTTCCATATCTTTTCTATCTATCTCATAGAACCCCTGCTTTTAACCTCTACTTATTTGAGTGCATGCGCTTCATTTGAATTTTCACCCTTTATTTTCCTAAAAAAGGGATTAAATCCTTGAGAGATTACAAGAAAATTATATTCCTCTGGCCTATAATTGTAGAACGTGCTTCATCAATGTTTATTTGGACTTGAAAATCATTTATTGTCCTAATGGAGTGAGTACAAGGTAGACCTAGACTTACAACAGTTGGTTTAGTGATCAAGGTTACCACCGCACTGAAAAATGTGACTTAACATTTTTCACAGTTATGACCTTTACAGCATCCCCATGGTCATGTGATCAAAATTCAGATGCTTGGCAACGGGTTCATATTTATGACAGTTGCTGTATCCCAATCACCTTTTGAGACCTTCTGACAAGTAAGTCAGACCAAATCCTTGTCTGTCCAATCACACTTGGCCAATAAAGAATTCTATTTCTATTAACTTGTCAAATGCATCCTCACTTAACAACTGTGGCGAGAAAGGTCGTAAAAGGGGGGCAAAGTTCTCTTAACAAATGTCTCACTCAAGAACAGAAATTTTGGGCTCAACCATCCAACTCACCTAAGTTTCCCTAAGTGATTTTCTACATGGTCAAATAAGTGAGATACAAAGTAAAGATCTGTAAAAGCCATATTGGGGTATTAGCATAGGATTCTGCATCACTTCACCTCCCCCTCCCTGGAGAATTTCTAATCCAAAAACAATTGATTTGGAATTGCCAGAATGGAACTTAGGGGAATTGTGGCATAGAAGAAAAGTATTTGAATCTTCCTTTATTTCTGTGGACATCATGCAGGCAGCAGCTGCCAGTGAATTTTGTGCAGACTAGTATTTGCATCTGTGGATATTTGGGTTACTGCCAATTTCTCCGGGTGGTAGAACCTACTTACAACAAGATTGTTTAGAAAAATAGAAGCATTATCAATATAAGCCAGTCCTCTGAAATCCTTAAAGTTTAAATGCATCCATATTTGAGACCTAAAGAGCTGCATGTGATTGATGGTAGATCTATGCTGTAGCTTAGAACACATTTTGAGAATGCCCATAACTCTAAGGATGAATAATTTGATTTTTGTTTCAGATTGCACCTGTCTCTTTCTGGCCTGCTAATATTAATTTTAAAAATTCCAAAATAAGAAGGTTTTAACTGGAATTTAAAATAGGAAGCTACAATAAACATAATGAAACATACTTTGGTAAAAAGAATTTCAGTCTTTCCTAAAAGACTAGCGGTCAGTTTAGGGATGGGGGGGCTCTAGAAATTTTATTTATTTATTTATTTATTTATTTATTTATTTATTTATTTATTTATTATTTATTATTTTATTTATTTATTTATTTATTTTGTCGCATTTCTATGCCGCCCATCTCCCAAGGGACTCTGAGCGGCTTACAACAAAGAATAAAACAATGCGAACAATCCCATAAAAAATGTTAAAAAGAAAAACATTAAAACATTAAAAACTTTAAAAACCTTAAAACACATGCACTCCAATTCGTGGCCGGGTCTCGCAAGATCATTATAACAAGATCAACGGCCCCAGGCCTGCTGGAAGAGCCAGGTCTTCACCGCTTTGTGGAAGGCCAATAGGGTGGGGCCGGTCCGGACCTCAGGAGGTAATTGGTTCCAGAGAGCCGGGACAGCCACAGAGAAGGCCCTCCCCCGCGGGCCCGCCAGCCGACATTTAGAAGCATTCCTGCAGCTATTTGTCGTTTATTCAGTAGCCAGCATCTAAAACATGACCTCTAACTGTAATCTAGGCAAACAGGATCCATGCTTGCAGTTGTGTGAGCTTTCAGTCTAAAGCAGGGGTGTCAAACTCATGACGACACGTTGTTGTCACGCGACGTATTTTTCCTCCACTAAACTGGGGGTGGGCGTGGCCAGCACGTGACGCATCCGGCCTGCGGGCCGCGAGTTTGACACCCCTGGTCTAAAGGGTCAGAGGCAGGAGAACAACATAGAAAGGCTTACTGCATGTGGTTTTCCATTTATGCTCACTTGCCCAGAGGAAACATTCTTGATTATTTATTAAAACAATTTATTGCAAATAACATGAGTACCGTCATGTTATTTGTGGTATGTGGTATGTAATATAAGAGTTGTGTTAATGTTGTAACTATAAAATTGGAACGTATGAACAAAAATCTAAAAATCAGCAATGAACAGTTTTGTTTTTATGTATTTATATTTCACATTTCTGAACCACCCAACTCTTTCAAAGGAGGATTCTGGGCGATATACAATAAAACATCAAAATATAAAACAGTATATAAAAAATTAAAATGTCAAGAGTTATATTTTCGTTTTATGTATAATGGCTCTCCACCAGAGGGGGAAGTATGTTTCTCCTATTTGTATATTTTAAGAATGGTTTGAGATCTTGCATGTAGATTTTCTGCTATATTGATAGTGTTATCAATTTAACAAGATGAATTACTTATCAATATAGACTAGTTGTGGATGATATTGAAATATAGCAACCAAAATGCCTTGTAGCTGTGTATGTGTATGTGAGAGAGAAGGGGGGGGGGGGGAGGGAGGGAGAGAGTGCACATAGGGCTTGTATGTTTTTTTTTTTTATTTGATTTATATGCCGCCCTTCTCCAGAGACTCAGGGCGGCTTACAATGCGTTAAGCAATAGCCTTCATACTTTTGTATATTTTTACAAAGTCAGCTTATTGCCCCCACAAACTGGGTCCTCGATTTACCTACCTTAGAAAGTATGGAAGGCTGAGTCAACCTTGAGCCTGGCAAGATTCGAACTTACTAATTGCAGACAGCTGGAGTTAAATTACAGTGCATTAGTCTGCTGAGATATCCAGGTTTTTGTTTCTTTCTTTATATTTTTCTAGCTATAAAAAATGTGGATTTTTTTTTTTTTTTTGTAATTGCAGGTCCCAGTTGCATTTCAAACTGAAGACCCAGGCCCGCCTGTCTGAAATGTGGACTGCTTCTTGCTTGGAAGAGGTCTGTGAGAGCAGCACTAATGCCGACCGATCTTTCGTTTTGGGATGGCCCACAACCAACTGCGTCGCCAGTTTCAGGTACAAGAGATTCTTTTAATTGATTTCTCTTATTGTTGCATATGTCCAGGGGTGGTTAAAGACACTAAGCTTGTCAACTGGAGAGCTGACAGTCCGGGTTCGAGACCCAAGTTCCGTGCGTTCCTTGCTTCAGTTCCTGCCCACCTAGCAGTTTGAAAGCATGCAAATGCGAATAGATTAATAGGTACCACTTCGGTGGGAAGGTAACAGCATTCTGTGTACCTCAGCTTATAGCCATGCTGGCCACATGACCACAGAAATTGTCTTTGTACAACGCTGGCTCTCTTGGCCAAGAAACAGGGATGAGCACCATGTCCTAGAGTCGGACATGACTGACAGGGAAGCCTTTACCTTTACCTTTTTGCAAATATCCAACTGAGTCGCCACTTAAGAGTTATCTTGGGTGTCAAAACTATATTCTGAAGCCATATTAATATTCAATTATTGAGTTTAAAGAAAAGTGGATCCGTACTCCTCATCTTACGACTGAAAATTTAGAATGAGGATCAGAGTTTGCATTCAGCTGTGGCTTAACTTTTAGCAGAATGCAGTTATGCTGATTCAAATCAAAGCATCTCATTTTGCCATATTCCCAGATTTTTAAAAGCTTCTTTATCCTCCCAGACTATTTGAGATAGATGGTTGGGAGAAGATAAGTAGAGACACAATATGTGCAGCAGAAGAGACCCATGAAAACTAGAGCTTGTCATAGAAGCTTTTTAAAGGTCTGAAAAGACAGTGGAACATCAAAGTATGAGTGAAATTCTAGGACAGTTTATGAATTGAAAGGAGGTGCTTTTTGGAGGTATTCTGGTTTCATAACATTTAGGATTTGAACAACCAAAACACTGAAATAAATTGGTAGTCAGGCAAACAGCTTAATGTGTGACTATATCAGTACCCAGAGAACTTGGGCCAATCAATCTCTTTCAGCCCTAAGAATGAGGCAATGGCAAGCCACAGCTGAAAAACCTTGCCAAAAAAAGCTTCAGGGATTTGTCCAGGCAGTTTCCATAAATTGGATATGATTAAACGTAAGAAAAAAGAGTCAGTCCCTACAAAAGCATTCTATGTGACCTACTATACATATTCTATAGCAGTGATGGCTAACCTTTTTGCCATCGCGTGCCAAAAGCTGGGGGAGTGCGGGATGGTCGTGCACGTGCGTGCCCACACCCATAATTCTATGCGCTCTGCCCCCCCACGCATGCGTGCGTGACCCCCCCCCACGCTCCCCCTGCTTTTGGCACGGTGGGCCCAGTAGGCCCGTTTTTTGCCCTCCCCAGGCTCCAGAGGCTTTCTAGGAACCTGGGGAGGGCAAAAACAGCCTTCCCCACCTCCCCGGAGGCCCTCCGGAGGCCGGAAACAGCCCATTTGCCGATTTCCGTTGGGCCCAGAAGGCCCAAAAATCAGCTGGCCAGCACGCACATGCGTGCTGGAGCTGAGCTAGGGCAACGCTCACGTGCCCACCCATATGGCTCCACATGCCACCTGTGGCACACGTGCCATAGGTTCGCCATCACGGTTCTATAGTATCATACACACACACACACACACACACACACACACACACACACACAAAATCTACAACCTATTTACACTAAGAGGTTTCACAGTTTGATTTACTTCAATTTATTTCACAGTTTGGGGAAATATATACTGATTTACAATGATAATGTGATTGTTATTTGATCTCCCGTATCAATGAAGAAATACCTTTTAATGGATATTCTTGCTTGACTTTCATCTTGACTTTGAAATAGTCCAACTTTAAAAATGTTGGAATGTCTGTCAAAAGGACATTCTGAATGTGTCATAACCAATGCAGAATATAGTAATGAACCATAGAAATTAATTACATTCTCCAAAATATCCATTCATTATATATTTTGATTCTTCGTTGTTTTCACTTTAATGTTTAAAATTCTTCTACAGTTGAGTTCCACTCACAAAGCACTTTGTGTGAGCTGTAGTGGCATTTCAGTAGCAGAACAAGGCTCTGTTCTGGATGAAAAACCTAAAGAAGGTCTTTTTATATAAATAAAATTGCAGTCTGGGTTTACTGTTTTTTTTTTTTTTTTCCCTTTTCATTTTCAAAGAGACTTGGCCTGTTGGTTCCCTGCTTAGCAGATTTGCATATTTTACTCTGGTAGTTTATTTGCTACTCTATTCAACTATTCTGAACTGTTATCTAAGTTGGCTTATACACTGTAAAGAGATTCCATTTGGAATTGATTTGCTAAAGTTTAAAAATGTGTTCTTAATTATTTCAGTTCCGTCGAGCAAAAAGAGAAGTGGCTCACTTCCCTTCAAAGGTACTTTGCTTTTTCTGTATTCATATTAGGAAGTCATTGCTAAGTTAGCCAGGTGCAAAATTTGTATTTGAAAAGGTTCAAGCACAAAGTATCCTGATTTAAATTTGAAACAGCTGCTTTTAACTTAACTGGAAATATTCTGACGCTGTCTAACATTCTAGTCCGGAACACTTCCAGCAAGGTCAGAATTCAAACCAGTTGTTGCAAAATCTTGTCTATCTAATTTAGATCAAACTTTAGACAGTTTCTCATTTTAGTAAGTATAGTTCAGAGATATACAGCTTTTTTTTTTAAGCTAGTTGGGCACATTTGAAATTTTGAGAATATAGGAATTTGCTGAACAGCTTTCAAAATCTGGGTAGAATAGAGTTATACAGAACTGAATTAACAAATGCTTCTTGCCACCAACTCTACTCTGTACTACCATAGCTTACTTTCTTTTTCCAGGCAAGTAAGCATATTTCCTTTAAAAACTAAAACTAAAAGGGCTTAGACATTCTTTCCATTATTCTTATTCTGGAAGAGAAAGTATGGAGTTTATTCTTAGAAATGCTCATTCTTAGAAATGAAGTTGATGCTTGAGGATAGTGCTTTGCTTTGTACTATGTCAGCTTCTATATTTTTGAAAAATATAAAAAATCAAGTTGGGGAAAAACGTCTGGGAAATGCTGAAAAATGTCTGCGGATACATTTTAGTCCCTAAATTTAGTCTAAATGAGGTTATTTTATGGTCTTCAGAAATGCAATCATAAAGCCAAGTGAGAAAGACTGAGAGATGAATAAGGTGACTGAATTTGATTGAATTCTTACTGAATACTATTTTGTTACATAAAAAGAAAATAATATATATTTAAAGGAAATAATATTTTTTAAGGAAAGATCCTACAAGCTTCTTGGCTAGCTTTGGTAAAGATGAAATTGCCCCTTAATATTTATAGCTATTATTGAATGCATTGTCATTTCTGCTTTGTGAATTTACTTATAAAGGCTAATTTCGATTTTTGCTTGCTTCAATAGTCGAATGAAAGAAGAGAAAGCAAAAGACTATCCCAAGAGTATTCCGTTGAAGATTCTTGCAAAGGATATTGGAAATTGTGTATATGTAAGTGTTTCTGACTCCCAGTTTGAATGAGCAGTGTGTCTAACCCAAATATCATTATTCTCTTCATACACAAACTAACAATTTTCATCTTATTTATATCTCTATCTTAATATATTTTCTGCTTTTTTTTTTGGTCTCCTTCATTTCCAAACTCCATTTTTATTCTCCAACCATTGGTAAAATACTTCCCATATCATATAATATTCAGTTTGCTCTTTCTTCTTAATTGCTAATGTTAATCTATTCATTTCTGCACATTCTAATATTTTCCTTATCTTCTTCTCTTCAATGGGAATCTCTCCACTTTTCCAATGTTGTGCAGATACAATTCTAGCTGCAGTTAATACATGAATAATTAAATATACATTCTCTTTATTATAAGTTTCAGGTAAAAGTCCTAACAGAAATATTTCTGGTTTCAAGTTAATATGTTGCTGTATCATCTCTTCCAACCATATCTTAATTTTTGTCCAGTACTTCATTGCTTCTTCACATCTCCACCATATATGATAGTAAGATCCAGGTAGTTGATGACACTTCCAGCATTTACCTGATTTATCTTTAAACATCTTGGCCAACCTCACCTGTGGTAAATGCCATCTGTAAAACATCTTATACAAATTATCTTTATATGCAGTTGACATTGTTAATTTATAATTCCTATCCCACAATTTCTGCCATTTATCTAATTCTATCGTGTAACCAAAGTTTTTCGCCCATGATATCATTGTCACTTTTACTTGTTCCTCTTCCAATTTTATACCCAATAGATAATTATACAATTTCTTTATTACCCTCTTTTCTGTTCCTGTTAGGATTTTATCTAACTCTGTTAATTCTTTGTAAAAGCCCTATAATTTAACATTTAAAACAAAAGAAGAAATGAGTGAGCAAGGGATTGATATAATGTGGTATTCACATGTGCAGATATGATCTAGATATAGATTGTAGATTGTAGATTAAACGGACCTACAGTATGTAAAATCTGGCAACTGTAGTATTAAACTGTAGTATTAACATAGGATATTGCTTGTTTTCTATCCAGATCAGGCACTTACTTGAGGCCACATAATTGTAATCCAATCCAATCCAGTCATCCTGCAGCGCTCTGCTGGCCGTGGGGAGACCCCAGTCCTCCAGAAGCACTCTGCCAGCCAAAAACGGGCCATGTGGAGGCCCCGCGAGGCCTCTGTGTGTCCCATGTTTGACTGGCAGAGTGCTGCTGGAGGCCGTGGAGGCCGAAAACTGACTACGCAGGGGCTGCATGCGGCTCCCCCTGTGGCCCATTTTGGCTGGCAGAGGCACCGCAGCCAAAATGGGCCTGTTATTTCCAGGCCAGTCCCACGGGCCATTTCCAGGCCAGTCCCACGGGCCATATCCTGCCCATGGGCCTTGAGTTTGACACCCCTGATTTAGAGAATAGTTGAGGCCACATGGAGGTTTCTCTGTGTCGTCAGGGTCACCTGAATAGTGCAAATGGGTGTGGAGCCTTCTTTGAACTGTTGAAAGGACCATGTTGTAGACTGGAGATAGATGATGTTGTATCCCTCCCCCTCTTTTGAGAGAGGGCTGCTACAAAAACTAGAAAGTCCAGTTGCCTCTTGTAAAAGCACCTTACTTACTTACTTACTTTATTTGATTTATATACTGCCCTACTCCCGAAGGACTCAGGGCGGTGAACAGCCAAACAGTAAAAATACATAGATACAAAATTTAAAAACAAAGTAAAACCGAATTAAACAATTTGGCCCAGACAGATTAAAACACCCCAATCATTTAAAAACCGATTAAAATTTGCATAATTAAAAAGAGGGAAAAGATTAGGCCAGGCCCACCTGGTGGAATAAAAAGGTCTTAAGAGCACAGCAGAAGGTGCACAGATCCGGGATCCTCCGTATCTCTGGGGGGAGCTCGTTCCAGATAGTAGGTGCCCCCACAGAGAAGGGTCTCCCCCTAGGGGCCGCCAGTCAACATTGTTTGGCCGACGGCACCCGGAGGAGCCCCTCTCTATGAGAGCGTACCGGCCGATGGGAGGCTATTGGTGGTAGTAGGCGGTCCCGTAGATAACCAGGTCCTAAGCCATGGAGCGCTCTAAAGGTGGTAACCTTTGCCACCTGTGGGGCAGTGCACTGTGAAACACAACAGTTCATAACACTGCAAAACAGATGCATATTTCTCTCCAGGACTGATCATTCTTAAAAGTGCAATATACGGTAATAACACCAGAAATACTAGTGAGGAGACAATAGAATGGCTTTTGAAAATATGTTTAGTTTGTGGATTGCTTTTTCCCTAGCTAGAACAGCTGGACATCCCAGGGGATCAGCTTCATTTTATCTGCAAATTGGGGTTAAGTGCAGGGGGAGGTGACATAAGCAACCCAAATTACTTTTATCACATTCTCACCAAAGGCAAGCTGTATGCAAATCTGCTGACCTACTCCCGGGTGCCAGATATCACTACTTTGCAGAAATGTTAGCTTTGTTTTGTTCATGTCATAATTATTCAGGTGCATCCTGGAACAAAAATAGACTTGAGTTCATACTGCTTCAGTTTACCTTCTGTGGCACCGGACTGTATAATTTTCTCCATCTCTTGTGGCGGAAGACTATTTTGAGCAGCTGGCGAAAAGGAAACTCGCAGAGATTTTGGAATTGGAAGTTTTGTGGGCTGGTTTTGAAGTTAATTATGAAACGTTTAATATGTATGTTGATTTAAAAGAGGAAATCTTTCTCCCAAAAGGAATGTTTCTGCCTTAAAGAACCCTCTTAAGAGCTCCTGGTTAAGAGTTTTGCACTCGTTGGAGATTCTTTCTGAGAGGGATTGAAATTATGGATCATGGTATTTGAAGGAGTATTCACAGACTCCTATTGGCTGCAATTACAAGATTGTATTTAATGAATCTAGAAAGAAGAGACCTCCACCAATTTAGAGGAGTTCAGAATCAAGTTTTTAATTAACTAGAGCTTTTTGTGTCATGCAGTACAAACTAGGAATGAAGCTTAATATTGTGGCTAAATCCTGGAATAATATTAATTTTTTAAAAATAAAACATTAGTGCTTAGCGTATTTTGTCATAGTAGACGGTACAAAAACATTTACTTAAGGGAAGGTAAAAGGGAAAACTTTCACGTTCCTTATTTTTTCTGTAAAGAGAGTAGAAAACGTCTACCAGCCCTAAACCCACTGTTACTTCTATACTTTGGTCTGAAATATAGCATGAGGTGCAACTACAGGCAATGTGTAAAATAAATCCCTTATTATTTAAAATTTCAGAATAAGAATATTAAAAAGAAAAACACCCTTTGCCAAGATCTAGTTCTAATTTACATGCAGTTAGAGCACAGCTGTCAAACTCCTGGCCCGTGGGCCAGATGCCAGTAATGGGTTCCTCCCGGTTCGGCCGAGTCGGTAGCGGTGACGATATGACATCACCGAACCGGTTCTCTTTGTTCGGGAACTGCTGGCCCCCGCGTTATTCTTACCTTTTATTTGGTCCCGCCCCCAATCTATTCACTGCCTCCCGAGTCCCAGCTGATTGGCTAAAAGGAAAAAAAACTGTTTAAACTCTTGCTGCGGGGCTTCAAAGGGACGCCCTACAGCTGATCAGTGTTAAAAGGCAGTGTGGTGGTAGACCAGTGCGCTCGAAAAACAAATTGGTAGACCAGTGCCTCCAAAAACAAATGGGTAGACCGGAACACTCCAAGAACAAGTGGATAGACTGGTACAGCCCTGCAAGCAGTTAAAAGCGTGGTAGACCAGTACCTCTGCTGAATCCTAAAGAATTGTCACATGACCATCAAGCCACGCCCACAAAATAAGCCACGCCCACAGAATCGGTAGTAAAAAAATTTAGAACCCACCCCTGCAAGATGCGTCATATGCTGGCCATGCCTATGCTCGGTTTAGCGAAGGGGTAAAAAGTACCGATACGTCATGTGACGCTGCCATGACGGCGTGAATTTGATACCCCTGAGTTAGAGTATCTGGTTTTTGTTTTCATCCTTCAAGCTTACATATAGTTGTCATACCCAAATTCTGACTGACATTTTCATCTGCTTTTTTTTTTTGAGCAACAATAGAGGTTTAATGTTTCTTTTTCTTCTTCACAGTCAAAAACCTTAACCATTACTAACCTGGACACGGCAAACGACGTCATCCTCTTGGCTCTCCAGCAGCTTGGAATTAATGTGAGATTGATTATTTATCTGTTTATTTATGTTGGCAAATAATGACACCGTTTGCAGTATTAAAAAGTAATCCTGATGCCTGAAAAATATAATTTTGCATTATACAAGTTTGACCAGCTTGAAAAATAATTACTGGGATAAAGAAAGTACTTAATTCAGAGGAGGAAATAATTGCTTGAATTCAATTTTTCCCCTCCTCTGTTAAGTAGAGAATATGAACCATCTGTTAAGTAGAGAATATGAACCATCTTTCCTTAAAAGCAATACAGAGCTACACTAAAAACCAAACAAACTCACTCCTACTATATAACCTGTGCCAATTGGACAATACAGTAAAAGGTCAATTTCTTCAATTAGCATCCCCGTGTTTGATCCAAAACTATTTCTTGTCTATTGCACTTTGGGAAGTATTTGACTGGCTGTCGGCTGTCTTATTAATATCTCTCAAACCAGAGGTGAAATCCAGCAGGTTCTGACAGGTTCTGGAGAACCGGCAGTGAAAATTTTGAGTAGTTCGGAGAACCAGCAAATACCACCTCTGGCTGGCCCCAGAGTGGGGTTGGAATGGGGATTTTGCAGTATCCTTCCCCTGGAGTGGAGTGGGAATGGAGATTTTGCAGTATCCTTCCCCTGCCATGCCCACCAAGCCATGCCCACCAAGCCACACCACACCACGCCACACCCACCAAGCCACACCCACAGAACCGGTAGTAAAATAATTTGGATTTCACCACTGTCTCAAACTCTATTAAGTCAGGAAGTTCCCCGCATATCCACAGACAAATTTGAAAGTATAGCTCAGGTTCCTAGACACCTAATTTGTGTTTCTGAAATCTTGGAAAAAGTGGATTAACCAGTAGGCATCAATCAGTCCATCTTGTACTTTTAAAATAGTCTCTCGAAAATAGTGGAAAGTTCAGAATTGGGCTGTCTTCTACCTTTTGAAGATATGGGCTGTTTGATCCTCAACTGATTGCTGCCTTCTAGCTGATAGCATTCAAGGCTAAAGGAGACATGTGAGATTACAGCATTACAGTTGGAGACTTTGATTGCAGTACAATGACTGTACTTTTGATACTCACCCATTTTCAGCGGTATACAAAACAACACTTTCAGCTAGCTACATGAAGTTTCAATAATGCTTCTATTTTAGGAACACCCGCCCCAAAATTTCTAGGAATTCCCCATTTCAAACAAGTAAGCAATTTTTCAAAGGACATTTTTATCCAGTGCCGAAAAATAGCTTGTGTCACCTAAGATGGGCCTGGTGGCTCAGCAGACTGATAGCATTGTGATTAACACCAGCTGTCTGCAATTACTGTAAATTTGAATCTCACCAGGCTCAAGGTTGACTCAGCCTTCCATCCTTTCTAAGGTAGGTAATTGAGGACCCAGTTTGTGGGGGCAATAAGCTGACTTTGTATAAATATACAAAAGTATGAAGGCTATTGCTTAACGCACTGTAAGCTTCCCTGAGTCCCGGAGAAGGCGGCATATAAATCAAATTAAAAAAAAAAAAAAGATCCTGGAATGCTACGGCATGCTAAGAAACAGTGGAATTTTCTTGTATGGAGAAAAGAAAAAAAAAAGACTCCAGATCATTCTGAATGGATGGTTAGATTCTTTGGAGATTCTCAACCATCCTGGTCATGGTTGTCCCAGAGGTGCATTTTTTAAAAAGGCAATTGGATTTACTTGTTTTGCTTTTTTTAATTTGAAAATGTTTCACTTCTCATCCAAGAAGCTGAAGAATTGAACTGAAGAAGCTTCTTGGATGAGAAGTGAAATATTTTCAATGAAAAACAAAAACAAAACAAAACAACCACCAAGGAAGTCCATTTGCCTTTTGGAAGAAGCACCTTTGGGACAATGGGTAATTACCAATAAAGGAGAATATTTGTAGCTCGGGGTTAAAATTAGGGGTGCTCGGTTGTTTCCTTGTAGACGTTTCATTACCTCAAGTCGTTAACATCATTGGTGCTAGTAACATTAGCACTGATATTTGGGTACTGGAACGTCTGCAAGAAAACAACCAAGCTCAGAGAGCACCAAGGACTCCTCAATGGGTAATTGCAGGGGTGAAATGCTCCTGGATCGGACCAGATTGCCCGATCCGGTAGCGATCTTGGCCGGTGGTTTGACAGTCCGGTAGTGATGGCAGAGCTATGCTCCGCCCACCTGGCCAGGTGTCATTACTTCCTGGTTTTAACTAGGAAGTGATGTGTTTTTACTGCACATGCGCAGAAGGTCTGCGCGCGCCTATGACACGCGCATGCGCTTCTGAACCATTAAGGAAGGTAAGTAGATTTCACCCCTGGATAGTTGGCCATCCCTGCGGGGAGACAGAGGACCACGACAGAGTTTTATGATCCAAATAGGCCAGGCCTCCCATTGTCTGTTGGTGCATTGCTTCAAATGTGAGACTGTCTGAAAGCTTCCCCATTGTGAGCACCAAACACTCCGATCCATATTCTCATCAGCTGTTTCCTGAAAAGAAGAAGCAGAAATGTCACCCTCCTTATCTCCCACTTCCATTCTGTTTTGCCCAGGAGGAAAATGGGACACATTCAAAGGGAGATGGTTTAATTTTCTGTCCACAATCACTCATATTCTGATCCAAAACCTAGAAGGGCAATCCAGTTGAATGATACAGATCAGGAGTTTAACTTGGAACCAGCTTGGAGTAGAATAGCATAGAAACTCTGGTAGTGAAAGTAAATTAAATCTTGCAGGTTATTGGCACAGGGTATAGTCTAGGAGTTCGTTTGTTTGGTTATTAGTGTAGCTCTGTATTCTTTCGTAGTTCCTGCTCTCTGGGGGCTTAGTGACCCCCATATTCGCTGTCTTTTGTGTTGTTCAGTTTTGGCTTCGTGAACATACTGTTTTTAGAAAAGAGCTTTCTGACATTTTCCAGCTTATTGGAAATCTTTGCAAAGGGGGAGCTGGAAGCATGAAATCAATTGGAATGGAAACAAATTTCAAGATGGAAGAAATGCTCTGTTTTTCGCTCCTTTCCCCTTTCATTTCCTTCCTTTTCAGTTCACAGTCATGCCATGTCACCACAGTCTGGGGAGTTCCATATGTGGAAACAGCAGCTGCAGTCGAGCCCTCTCCCCAGCACTTAGATTGCATACAATTGTCACGCCTGGTCAAAATACAGCCTTTCGTGTTTTTACCCAAATGTGTAGGGAGCCTGTCAGAAGCTCTGCCGGGGCACATATTACAACAGATGTGCCAATAGTGTAAATATTTAAGTGTTCTGCTATTTGATTTCTGTTAAAAGTCAGTGACCTCTGCTGTAGTCTAGAACAGCTGTGTTAAGGACACATGTTTTAATTTATAATGTTAAATAAATCAGCTTTCTGTTCATTCTAACAGATGTAGGATTGTATTTTTAAAGGGTTCTGAGAAGGATTATCAGCTGTGGGTTAATTCTGGAAAAGAAGATGCCCCTTATCCTCTTATTGGTAAGTGTATGGAAAGCGTATACTAATGGTGTAGAATTTGCTTTGTGTTATATTCTTTCAAAGGTTTCAGAGTCAATAACAGTTAAACAATAACATCATACAGGTAGTCCTTGACTTACAACCACAGTTGCAACGGGAATGTCCACTGCAGTCATGCCTGATTTAACAGCCTTTTTTGCCACAGTGGTTAAGTGACTCATGCAGTCGTTTTAGCGAATTCGGCTTCCCCCAGTGACTTTGCTTGTTGGAAACTGGCTGAGAAAGTCACAAATGGCGATCACGTGTCCTCAGAACACTGCAACCTTCATAAGCACATGCTGGTTGCCAAGCACCCAGATTTTGATCACATGGCCATTTGGATCCTGCAACAGTGGTAAATGTAAGGACTGGTTGTAAGCAATGGTGGGATTCAGCCAGTTCGCACCACTTCGGGCGAACCGGTTGTTAAATTTCTGAGCAGTTTGGTGAACTGGTTGTTGGAAGAAATCATTAGAGCAGAGAACCGGTTGTTAAATTAGTTGAATCCCACCACTGGTTGTAAGTCACTTTTTTTAGAACGGTTATAATTTCAAACTGTAATGAAACGGATGGTTATAAGATGAGGACATATAACAAAATAGATTAAACTCAAAACAAAATAGTATTAAATGTTACTCATGATTTTGTTATTCAATGACAGCCTAAATAAGGATATTTTTTAAGAAATCTAGAACAGCAACCCCGCCTTTTGGGCACCAGGGACTAGTACCGTGGAGAAAGTTTTTTCCATGGACCGGAGGGGGTGTAGTTTCGTGTGCTTCCTGCATCCCGTGGATGGGGCTTCACTTGTTTGCATGGACCGGTTTTTGGCATGTCGCAGCCAGGTGCCAGTCCACAGACTAGGGTTGGGGACTCCTGATCTAGAAAATATTTACTGTGAGCATTGTATTAAGTAGACAATCAGAATAAATGTATTTTAAACTAATTAATAGACTGCAACAACAGTATGGAATTTCCTCCTGTTTTGGGGACGCCGTTTCTGAAACCTCTGATTTTCTGTTGGATGGATGGGAATTGGAGCCTATTAATATCAGGAAGGCTCATCAGGAATTTAATTTCATATTTGAAAAATCAAAGCAGGCGTCACTTATTGCACGAAGCCATTATATGGTTAGGGTTTGGCTGTGCTGTATGTATATCCAGCCACTGTGGTTTGTAAAATGTGATAAATGGCTTCAGATGTTGTGCAAATCAGCAACAATACCTGTGGACAAATCATGGCTTATCGTAGTACATTAAAAGAAAAGCAACGGAGTTGTTCCAAATACGATTCTTATCTGCAATCGCTCTTGGCACACTTACTGAAGATAAGATGACATGTTCTTGGCTGATTTTGTCAAATATGTTTTTCTTTAAAAGTGTGCTGCGAGTTCAGAAAACTTACTGTAACATCCCACTTTTACTTCCTTTTAAAAAAATATATGTGTTGTGGTTTTGGCACATTGAGCTAGTTAAGTTGGGGTAAAGGAAAAGAGACTGTTGCGGACTGTGGAATTTTTATGATGACTGGTTTGGTTTGGATTTTTTTAAAACCAGAAGCAATACAGATAATGACTGGGGTTATATCGTTCTCTCAGAAAAATTTATCAACTGCCTTTGATATTTTCTTGGGAGTGTGTGTGAATGAGGGTATGTGACTGTGGCCAGTTGTAATTGTAGATTTAGATGCGATCTCAGAGACTATTGAGAACTGTATTTCTAATTCCGACCTGCATAACGCCTTATTTTGTTATGCTCAAAAAGATAGACCTGGCTTTCATAAACCACCTATTGAAAATACCCATTTAACCCCCTCATTACAAATTACAGATTGCTAGTAATCTGGCTATTTTTATAAGAAAATGCTAGATCCCTCCTTCGATTTAGTCTCCCCCCCCCTTTCTCTTTTCTTTTCCTTTTGTCTTTTTTGCATTCTTGTTCATTTTGACAGCCTTGTAAGAAGATGAGTTTAGAAAACCTTTCCTACTGTAAGTGGGGAACATAGTTTTCTCTTTCTGAAACCCACATTAAGTGCTAAAGTACGATGCCGTATCTTCCGATAAGATCCCATGAACTTAAGGAAGCAAAGGCTCTTCTTCTCAACTCTGTTCTGATCAGCAGTGGGTGTTGCACAGATGCAGATTGAAAGGCAAATTGTTGCCTTTTGGCTTTTTGTTCCTTGACTGCTATTACTCCCACAGACAGACTTAATACATTTTTTAACATTTTTAGCCTTTGTAGAGCTTCACTGAAGCACATTGGCTACAGTAGATTATTCTAAAACAAGACAAATCTGGATTTGAATTTAATGTTGAAATACCTCCTTTTTCTTCAACATCATAAAGTTCCTTAGCAGTGGCCGTATTTGTTCTGATCCAAAAAAGTAATTGTAATTGGGATGTTGCAATACTTCTGAAGAGTCAGGCCAACTTAGAACACCAACAATGGCCAAGTATTGGAGCAGTCAAACCAAATCACAACTATCCCTTCTTGTTAGCATGGCCATGCCATTGGATCTATTGGAACTTGCAGTACGCGAAATATTCAGCGAGGCTTATTAAAAAATAAAACAGAACCAATCCCAATTTATTCAAAAAAATAAGGAATCCCTGCAGATTTTACTCCGCTAGTCGTTGCCAACTATATGGGATGGTGCTCATCTCCATTTCAAGGCCATTGAGCCAGGGCTGTCTGAAGACATTTCCGCGGTCATGTGGCCAGCATGACTTCATGAAGCATTGCTACTTCCCCACAGAAGTGGTACCTATTTATCTACTCGCATTTGCATTGTTTCAAACTGCTAGGTTGGCAGAAGCTGGGGCGAGGACAGGAGCTCACCCTGTCGCATGGCACTTGGGTCTCGAACCTGGGTCATCAACTTTCCAACCAACAAGCCCAGTGTCGAGACACTGTGCTGCCCCAATTTATTAAGCCATCTAAAATAATGACAATCTCGACTTTCGTATCTATGATTTTTCATATTGCAATTTTATTTGACATGTGCTGTGAACAGGTGGCAGAGCCTTTTCAACCATGCCTGACTGACTTGAGAAGATATACAGGTCAAGCTTGATTAATATTTGAGTGGGAGAATTCCAAGCAGTGTTGGGCTGAATGCTCAGCTGGGAAATCACAACACATCCTAAAAGAAATCAGTGACAAACCACATCTGTGCTCTTTCTATACAATTCCATAAATTGTATCCATGTAGCGCCCCCACCCCCTTGAGTCAATTAGAAATTGAAGGAGCCCTCTGATCAGTGAGACACATTTGAAAAGATTCAAGTGGGACAAATAAAGCTGGGATTTTGGATGGGTTTTTTTAAAGAAGGGGCATGGAGGCTCAGTGGCTAAGATGCTGAGCTTGTCAATCGAAAAGTCAGCAGTTCGAATCCCTAGTGCCGTGTAGCGGGGTGAGCTCCCATTACTTGTCCCAGTTTCTGCCAACCTAGCAGTTCGAAAGCACGTAAAAAACGCAAGTAGAAAAATAGGGACCATCTTTGGTGGGAAGGTAACAGCATTCCATGCACCTTTGGCATTTAGTCATGCCGGCCGCATGACCACAGAGACGTCTCCGGACAGCGCTGGCTCTTCGGCTTTGAAATGGAGATGAGCACCGCTCCCTAGAGTCGGGAACATCTAGCACATGTGCGAGTGGAACCTTTACCTTTACCTATTTTATATGTGTGTGTGTGTGTGTGTGTGTGTGTGTATGTGTGTATGCCAGGAAACCACCCCCATCCCCCCCAAAAATTAAAAAGCTGGGAACTACAAAAATACTATATTTTTTCAGTGAAATAAGATGCAAAATAGATGAGTTAAGTTTCTGTTTGACTTAACAAATCTGTTTTATTACTTAAAAGTAAAGCCCAATCCTCATTGCAAGGGACAGACTCTCATTTACTGATATTTTTCATGTTATCTGCAACTTGCACTTGCAGCTTTTAATTTTGTTTTGAAGTATGGCCTCTGGCTGTGAAATGTTGTTGGTACTTAGAGGTGTAGATCATGATATCTCGGTAGATGTTCGGATGGTTGGCAAAAGTTTAGCAAGAATTTTTAAAACGCAATTGTGTAGTGATTATAACAGCAAAATTTAGCAGCTCCTGAATTAGCTTTTGAAATGAACAAAGTGTGTTTTAAACTCTTCTTTAAAAGCAAATGTATTATAAATATCCAAGAACAAGTCAAGATTCCAGCAATCAGGAATCTAGGCTAGGTTTAACTTCACAGGAAAGTGTTGCATAGGAAGACTGTGGATTGAGATCAGTTCTGCTACTGAATACAGATTCTGTTTTCTGAATTGGAGTATACTGTTGCTCAGTATTTTAATTCTAAGTACTTGTCCCTCAAATTGATGGTTCTTGGAAGTTCTGGTAAAAGACCAAAATAGGGCCAAATAATCTTAAGTGAATTTACTGCTGGCTGTATGTGAGAAAATATTCAAATAACATGTGCATGTTTTCCTTCAAGAGAGGAAGATTTTATATATATATATATATATATAAAATCTTCCTCTCTTGAAGGATTGAGAAGTCCTTATGGTGAACCAGGCAATTGGAAGAGGTTATTAGGAAAGGGAGGCAGATCAAATCACATTAGGGTCAAACCTCAGCATGGGGAACTCTTATCTCTGCATTCGACTTATTAGCCTTTTAACTATATATATTCAACTGTTTTTCTTCTTAACTAGTTAAAAGGCTAATAAGTCGAATGCAGAGATAAGAGTTCCCCATGCTGAGGTTTGACCCTAATGTGATTTGATCTGCCTCCCTTTCCTAATAACCTCTTCCAATTGCCTGGTTCACCATAAGGACTTCTCAATCTTATGCTGAAAACAGTGAGACTTGCTATGAATGCTGGAGTAGCAAAAGTTGGCTTCCTTAAGCAGTCTTAACTCTAAATCCTTCCATTGTAAGGATACACACTAACTTATCCTACGCTGTGGGATATACTGCTTATCAAGGAAAACTGGAGGAGAGGAAAAGAATAACATGTTTTCATATGGTATCCAGATGTCGTTTTGCAAGCCTCGGGCTACAAACTCAGAAATCTCTGTTATTTCTGTTCATTTGAGATATACAAAAGCCGAGGCTTTCAATGCCCAGTGGTGATTTGACTGACACATAATGCTCTGCATTTGCCCTGTGTAGGAGAAATAATAATGGCTGTTCTAAGAAATAATAGTGGATATACTTTAAAGTCACTGGATATGTCAGCCCTTCGTTTTGGTTGGCCTGTGCCCACATATCTGGCACTGTCAGTAAATAAAACACACCATAAATTTTCCATTTTTAGCAGGCAGAATCTAAAATAGGGCTAGAAAGTAAGGGAAGGACAGGATTTGGAAAATCCCGAGTACCAGATAATTGATCATAAAGATAACATAATGTAAATCAGAGGTGGGGTTCACTGACCTTCCCTACCGGTTCGCAAATGTGAGCACGTTCGTGCCTCCTCCGTGCATGCGCACGACTTTCTGCACACGTACAATGCATTACATCCGGATGGGTGGGCGGAGCCTCCTGCAGTTGTCGCTACCGGTTAGCCCAATGTTTCGCAACCTTAGCAGTTTGAAATTGTGTGGACTTCAACTCCTAGAATTCCCTAGCCAACATAGCATAACATAGCTGGCTAGGGAATTCTGGAAGTTGAAGTCCACATATCTTCAAACTGTCAAGGTTGAGAAACACTGGGTTAGCCTGAACCGGACAGAATCGGCTGAATCCCACCTCTGGTGTAAATGTCTGTGGAGATTTTCAGTCATCCAGGTCATGGTTGTCCCAAAGGTGCTTTTTCAAAAGGCAACTGGTCTTTCTTTGTTTTGCTTGAAGACATTTCACTTCTCATCCAAGACGCTGAACTGAAGAAGAACTCTGGAACTGAAGAAGCGTCTTGGATGAGAAATGAAACGTCTTCAAGCAAAACAAAGAAAGTCCAGTTGCCTTTTCAAAAAGCACCCTTGGGCTATCATAGTGTAAAATCAAGTGAGTACGATACATTTATTCTAGGGATTACAGTCCATTTTTAAAGAATAAACATTATTGTGATGTTCTGGTAGGTCTTGTTTTTCGGAGTATTACTTTTGTTTTTCATATATGCAAATTAAAATCTCTTCTTTTATGAGCAGGGCATGAATATCCTTTTGGAATTAAAATGAACCACATTCGTGACACTTTGCCCCAGACAGAGGGGTCAAAGGATGGCGATTGCCCTCTGGATCTTCAAGGAGCCTTCCTAATAGAACAATTGCCCCGTGAGCTTCAGTGCCAGTTCATTCTCAAGCCAAGCCGACTGGCCACTGGGCATCAGTTGAATGGTGAGTGTTCCCCACTTACAAAAGGCTTCATTCAGCAAGGGTCCCCCAGCTCAACCAGTAATGTTGTAGGTGTAGCCCACTAGGTCACCCAGAAGGCCTGTTGAGTTTATTATTGATTCCTATGACAAGTGGATTCCAGTTGTTCTCTTGTAGTTGTATATTGCCGAGGACGTTAGGATTTCATAATATTATAGAATGGTAAGAGAATCTAAAACATGCTAAAATAGTACATGGTTTCGCCTCAGATGAAGAAGGTATTGAGTGGGGCACCACAAGGCCACAAGAACGGGTCCTCTAATATTTTCATTAACAATTTGGGTCAATAGCTCGAAGAAACGCTCGTCAAATTTGCAGATGTCATAAAGACAAATTTCAGAACAATCTGAATAGAGAAACGGGCTTCAAGTTAAATTCAACATAGAACGTTCTTAATTTAGAACACAAAAATCAAATGCACAAGTATCGATATCGTCCATACCAGTGATGGCTAACCTTTTTGTCATCGCCTGCTGAAAGCAGCGCATGCGCGCAACAGCATGCGTGTGTGCCTGCATTCATAATGCAATGCGTGTGCTCCCCCCACACATGGGCACGTGACCCCTTGTGCTCCTGCAAATGTGTGTGCAACCCCCCGTGCTCCCCCACACCCCCATGCATTTGTGTGTGACCCCCCTGCGGCCTGTTTTTGATCCCAGGAGGCTGCAGGGAGGCCTGCTAGGCCCAAAATGGGCTGCGGGGGGGGGGTCACACTGCACCTCCCACCCTCCCCCCATGCATGTACACATGATCCCCTGCCCCCCCGCATGACCCCCCACCCTGGGCATGTGCACATGACTCCTGCTTGCATGTCACCTCCCTGCATATGCGCGGCAAAGATCGGAAAATCAGCTGGCCGGCAGGAGGCGGGGTGGAACTGAGCTGGGCGATGTGTGCCGTAGGTTCGCCATCACGGCTCTGTACCCTCATCTTAACACTTTAACCACAGTGTTTGGCTTTCCACAATAGGAATAGTTTTCTCTTCTAAAATAAACAGAAAGCAAAATTTACTCTCTTCCTTCCTGCCTTCCTTTCTTTAGAGTTAAGCCAAAAGCCATTTAAAAGGAAAAGATCGATTATAAACTGGGCCTTCTGGCGAGAAACAGGTGCTCCAGTGGATCATTTAGTGCCATCTCCAACGTCTTCCAAATCAGGGAAGCTGTTTGGCCTTTCCCTCTCATCCATCTGTGAGAATGATAATCTGCCCAAACCTATCTTGGTAAGTCTCTTTTACATCGCAGGTGGAATGATGACAACTCTCTGGGTAAAGATGTGCACAGGTGGCCCTGGAACACATTTGGGCTGTTGAAAATATGTAACAGTCAATCTCTTCATTGAGAAAATACAAGTAGTCTACGACTTACGACCACAATTGAGCTCAAAATTTTCTGTTGCTAAATAAGACAGTTGTTAAGTGAATTTCGCCATTAAATTAAGTTAGCAACATGGTTGTTAAGTGGATCTTGTTTCCCCATTGACTTTGCATGTCATAAGGTTGGGAAAAAAAGTGATCACATGACCGCGGGACACTGCAACTGTCATAAACACGAGTCAGTTGGCAAGTGTCTGAATTTTGATCACACGATCATGGGGATGCTATAGTGGTCATAAGTGTGAAAAACAGTCATAAGCCACTTTTTTCAGTGCCGTTGTAACTGAGAATGGTCACTAAATAAACTGTTTTAAGTCGAGAGCTATCCTTATTTGCCATTGTGGACATGACCAGTCATGAAACTAGACTTGGGAAATCTAGTTTGCAGATGGCAAATTAGATCCTTCAAATGCTCTGCCATCTCCTGTGGGTCCTTATGTACAGTAGTGGCCAAAATTGTGGAAACCTTTGGGGAAAAGTATATTTTTGAGGTTTGATGGCTAATAACACCCCCTTTTTTTTTGGAGTTTCAAGATAACTATATTCCATTGCTGGAATGGCCTGGGAATAGCCCAGACCTTAACCCAATGAGCCGACTAAAGAAACTTGTTAGTCAGAAGCGACTCAGCAATAAAACCCAGTTAACAGAAGCAATCATTCAACCAATCTTGGTTTCACATTATAACAGCTGCAGAACTAAAAGACTTGGTTCACTCCATGAGAAGACGTTGTAAGGCCATAATTCATGCTAAAGGTTACCCAACTAAGTATTAACTGACATGGGGATCATTTTTGTAGATCTCGTTTTTCTATGTGTTTCACGTTTCTTCTTTATACTGTAGCTGCTATTCTAATAGCAAATCCTTCATAAAAGTTACTGCATTACATTCTTGATTAAATTACCTCTCCATTGATATATAATTTTATGGTACTATTCCAAAAACAAGTGGTGTTATTAGCTAGTTTTAGAGAATACACTTTTCCCAAAAGGTTTCACAATTTTGGCCACTATTGTATGGCTCAAAAGCATCCTATGTGACATGCCAATCTGGGACAGAGAGTATGATGAACATCAAGTAAAGTTCCTGCAGACACATTGGCAACCACAGGCAATAGATTGCTACCCCTGTTCTAGGCAGGGAATAAGAAGATTATGGCAGGAGGAGCAAAGGAACAATCAATAGGGGTTTGGAGCCTTACTTAGGTCCCACTTGGTGAAATTGCAACTCAAATTGTAAATGGGCATTTTATGTAATCATTTGTACTATTGCATCTCCTATCATAAGATTATCATGGAATAAATATTTTCTGATTTCTCACTCCATATTTGTGTCAAATAACAAAATCTGATTTCTAGGATGTTAGACTTTCTAGAGAAAAACTCTGTTGTTGTTTTGGGGAGGGGGAAAAGTTTGACATCAAAAATTGAAGTAACAAATTTATTACCATCTTAGACTTTGTGGATCCCAGTTCATTTCATTAAAATATAAAGTCCTTGTTGGTCAATCGATAAACACATGGACATTGCTGTGATAGTGGAGCATGTAAGATACTTGGTACTTGTACCTAATATTTTAGACCAGGCGTGTTAAACTCAAGGCCCAGGGGATAGATCCAGCCTGCGGGGTACTTAGATCTGGCCCGCTGGCACTCCCGAGCTCTGTTTTCACTGGCAGAGGGTTGTCACCACAGGCGCCTCCGACACGAGTGACGTTGAGCTGGCCACACCCACCCGGACTTCCCAAGGTCAAACACGACCCTGATGCGGCCCTTGATGAAATTGAGTTTGACACCCCTGTTTTAGACCATAGTTAGAGAATATACGCTGTTAGCTATGAGAAGTACTATAATAAAACCAGTACACTATATCTACAGTATTATCTTAATAAGCAACCAATATTATGACTTGTTATTTTCTTACATTTAGGCTTTCTGTTGAGATAGTGAAGGCTAAAGCATAAGTTGGCATGTATCTGCCAAATATAATTTACTAATTATGAGCTTCTTCAAATATTTCCCTTCCCTTTAGAGCACCTTTATTCCTTTTTCTTCTTCATACTAAATGCTAAATTTCTGCATTACTTGTGTATCAGAGTTAATACCACTTCTTTTGAAACCATGCTTTCAAACTGTACATTTTAAAACTATGGCTTCAAACCATGGTTGCAGAAGAAGCATTTACCATTTACCTTACTGGTTTTCATGTACACATAGATCTCCCAAAGATTTACCATTTGGTGTTGCTTTATACAAATTAGATACACATATGCATTGTGCTTATCTTCCCCTTAAGAGTACAGGAATTTGTGCATAAACCACAACTCCCACAGTTACTATATTTGGAAATGAGACATGCCTCAACATATGGTTCCTTCCAAAATATCACATTTAAAGTTTTTTTTTTTTTTAAACAACCTTGTAACTTATAACTCTGATAAGTTAAGTGTATCTAAAAATATGGTCATAAAGTCTACTTTGGTTGTTGCACTGCAAAATTTGATCAGTATGAGGAATGATTTCAGATTAGCAAAGTACCAAATACTTAAAAAAGAAAAGGGAATGGATACCTCAACACAAGTAGCAAAATGTGAATGATAAAGAGATGGCGGAAGAAAGAGGCAGACTGAACATTTCAGAAGTCTTCTTAAACATCCACCTAAGGCAGCATTCTAAACTACAGCAACATGTAAGATGGATAGACTTCAACTCCCAGAATTCCCCCAGCCAGCATGACTCTGTGTTTGATGTATTTGCACATCTGACCTTCAAACATTTATCCAGAAGTCTTAAAGATACTGCATCCTAAATTAATTAATAGTAATTCAATCTGTAAAAAAAAAAAAATAGAGCTGACTTTGGAGATGGGGAAGGAATGAGCAAGCCATTAAGAAGGGATTTTCAGAAAAGAGTACAAAGTTCTAAGAAAAGAGAAAATGTGAAGAATAAACTGAATATAACCCAGCCTTGATTTTATTTAACATAAATAAAGTGGGACTGAGAAGAATTTGGACAGATTAAGTAGCCAGAGAAAAACCTGCTAATTTTAAAGAAAAACCTGTGCTTTTATCTGCTAAAATCACTTGCCATGTTTCATGTACTGATTATATATTTCATTTGTAGGATATGCTTTGCTTTCTTTATCAAGAGGGACCGTTTACTCGGGGTATTTTCAGACGTTCAGCAAATGCAAAATCCTGCAGAGAGCTGAAAGAGAAGCTTGACTCGGGTGAAGACGTACACCTATTTTGCGAGTCTGTGTTTGTGATAGCCTCTGTGTTTAAGGTAGATGGGAATCTCTTTCACTCTTGTGTAACAATTACTTGACCGTTGAAATTGCCTGTCTGGATATGAAGATTATCTTGTTCCTTTTTTAAAAAATAATCTAGAACTCTGCAGATTAATTCAAGGAACTTGTAGACAACTCCTTACAAGGAAGTTTTTCCCAATCCTACTACCTGAAATTGGGATTTAAGATTCCCAGAAATGGTTGGAAGAAATATTACATAAATAAATCTATATTTTTTTATTTATTTATTTTATTGAATTTCTATACCGCCCTACTCCCGAAGGACTCAGGGCGGTGCACAGCCATGAGATAAAACACATAGATATACAAAATTTAAAATCGAATAAAATGAATTAAATAAATTTGGCTGAATTAATACCAATAATTTAAGATACCCATATTTTAAAATACATTAAAATTTAGAATTTACACTTAAAAGGGAGAAGATTTAGGCGAGGCCAGCTTGATGAAATAAAAGCGTCTTCAATAGAATTAAAACCAAAGGTTTTTTTATTGGGTATTCTCCCAGAGAGATATAGTAAAGAAGATGTGTATTTAATTATACATATAATAACAGCAGCAAGAATTGTATTTGCATAAAATTGGAAGACAGAAAAAATTCCGTCAGAAGGTGAAGTAATAAAAAAGATTTTAGACTGTGTGGAAATGAATAGATTAACTCTAAGAATAAGAGATAAAGGGGAATCAGTGTACTTCAAGACATGGGGAAGATTTTATATATGGTTGGAAAAGAAATATGAAGATAAGAGGATAGATAAATGATTTAGATAATAGAAAGTTAAACGAGGGAGAGGATAAAAAAGAAATAGAAACCCAGATGACACCAGAGTAAATGAAAAAGGGGGATGGGAGGGGGGAAAAGAAAGAAGATAATAAGAATAAATGTACAATTATGATGATAATACTGATAGATAGAATAAATCTGGAAAGAAATTGAAAGAAAGTATATATTATTAGAATATAGGAGTTGCTTGGATACCAAACAAGGAGAATATTCCACAGCAAAGAAGATAGAAAGGAGAGAGGAATAGAGGGTAGGAAGAGGAGAGGAGGGAGAGGAATGGAAGAAAGGGAAAAGGAGAGGAAGGAAGGGTAGGGACAGGAGTAGGAGAGAAAGTGAGAAGGGTGAAAAGAAGGGAGGAGTGGGAGAAAGGAAGGGGAAGTAGGATGAGGTAGGAGAGGAGGAAGGAGAAAGGAGAGGAGGGAGGGAAGGGAAAGAGGAGAAGAAGAAGAAGGTTTGTTGCGAAATGAGGGAAGAAAGGGTAGAAGAGCAACTCCGAATGTACCGTATTTTTCAGAGTATAAGATGCACCTTTTTCCCCCCTAAAAGGGGGTGAAAATTTAGGTGCGTCTTATACACCGAATGTAGCCCCGCCCACCCATTGGCCCCCACCCTTTGGCCTCTGCCTCACAGCAGTTACCTCCTTGCAAGCAAACAGCAAGAAAAAACAGTTCCTTTCAGCTTCAGCACAGCCTAATTAGCACAAGTTGATTGGATCGGCCTCCCGACTCTCAGCTGATTTGCTCTCAGCTGTTTTGCGCAGAGCTCTGCTGCTTGCTGCAAAGAGGTAAATTGCTGGAGCAGATTTTTTTTTTCCTTGTGCTAATCAAGCTATGCTGAAAAGGAAAATAAAAGTAAAGCAGGCTGTTTGCTGCAATGAGGCAAAATTGCTCAGAGGCAGAGGGAGATTTCTTTTTCTTCTTTTCCTCACCAAAAAAGGTAGGTGCGTCTTATACTCCGGTGCATCTTATACTCTGAAAAATACGGTAATTAAAATGCCTTATTTTAATGCTTTCTTTAAGGGAAACGTGTATATGTATGATTAATTATGTATAAGAAAATGTACATTTTATATTACGTGTATAAGAAATAAAACTGAAAAGCTTTTCAAAAAAAAAAGAGGAAGTTTTTCCCAACCCTACTACCTGAAATTGGGACTTAAGACAACATTAACAAACAATTCGGAGACCTAGCACATGCAACATGTGTATTAGTCTAGTGCTGAGATTTTTCTGTAACCCATTGATCTTCCCAATCATAGAATCCTCCAAATATTTGATTTGAAACTTCTCTTTGGAATTCTGTGAAAGGCTAGGCTCCCTCCTGCATATAATTAATTGAACATGTAGACTCTCAAACCTTTTTTTAAAAAATGTATATGTTGAAATGATTGCTCATGTATATGTTTCTCTTCTCTTTTAATAAGGATTTCCTTCGTAACATCCCAGGAAGCATCTTCTCATCCGAGCTCTGTGATCAGTGGGTTTCCTTAATGGATGAAGGGAACCATGAACAGCAAATGAAAATCATCCACAGGTAACATTGCTTGTGTAATTTTCTGTGTCAGTTTTTCAGAGAATATCAAGGGACAGTGGTAGGAAGCCAAACTGTAAAATATATGTGTGTGTGTGTGTGTGTGTGTGTGTGTGAGCGTGTGTGTGTGTGAGCGTGTCCACACACACGCACAGATACATATTTTACAGTTTGGCTTCCTACCACTGTCCCTTGATATTTTCTGAAAAACTGACGCAGGAAATATATATGTAGTTTTCTCCAGTAATCTTCCACTTAGTGGGAAATAGGTTTCTGAACGGAGAGCACAGCTTTTTAAAAAGGAGAATTTTGAGAGTCAGCTGTGAAGCCCTTTCTGTTTGATTTTGTGTTTCTAGACTAATGGAACAGCTTCCAAAAGCCAATGTAGTGCTGTTGCGTTACCTCTTTGGAGTATTACACAGCATACAAAAGCAGTCTGAAGGCAACCAGATGACCGCATTCAATTTAGCAGTGTGCATCGCACCCAGCTTGCTCTGGCCTCCAGCTCCTGCAAATCCAGGGACTGAAGGAGAATTCACCAAGAAGGTAAGCCACAGTTCTTCAGGTTCTTTTCTTGGAACCGCTTCAGATATTCTAAGGAACCAGTAGAAGAGGAAGAACAAGAGTACAGCGTCTTCTCAATTATTCTGGATCATGTCCAAAGAGGGGAAATACAATAGGTCCAGGCTATTTTTTTAAATAATGGATTTCACTTCAGAGCAACTTCGTGTGCACGTCTCCTTGGCCGCCACCGGCAGCCCTGCTTCCCCAGCTGGCAGCAGCAGGAGGAGCAGGAGCAGCTGCAGCGGCTGGAGGGGCATCCGGCAGGCAGGCAGGGCGAGGGCACTGTGAGGCCGGCTGGGCAAGGCAAGGCTCCCCCCGCCACGGCTGCCTTGGCAAAGCTGGCAGCGCTTCCCGGTGCGGCGTCAGGGGCGTCTGGTGAGGCTGGCGCAAAGTTGGGCGTGTCACTGCATTTTTGTATTTACCAGATGAGCTCTTATTTTTGAACTTTCAGATTTACCGTAGCTTGCCAAGTTCTTATCTTTAAGCTAACTGCGCATGTCCACATTCCTTCACTTTCTAAAAATTTTCTTTGTTCTCCGGCCAAGAGAGGTGGCTGGGAAAGCTTTGCCAAGATGTAATTAATTAGCTAGTGAGATGTTTTATTTTCTTTATAACAAATAAATGAGTTTTTCTTAGAAAATATATCTTCGGGTTTTATTTTCTTAAAGTATACTTCAAGGAAATGGTCACGATCCATTCTCTAACCAAGGTGCAATTACCCAAAAGCAGAATGGGATTAATTGCCACCATGACAGGGTGGGGAGGCTGGAGGGGTGCCCGAGGAGGCAAGCGAGCAAGCAGGCAAGGGAGGCAGTGGCTGAGGGCTGGGTGAGGGCGGGATGCAGCGAGGGCGGGACGCAGTGGGGGCAAGCCGCCTCCTTCCCTGCCTCCTGGCACGCCCCATGCTATTTTGAAAAAAGAGTTGGGAACAGTGGTGGGTTGCTACCAGTTTGCCCCGGTTTGGGCGAACTGGTAGTAGCGGTGGCGGGAGGCTCCACCCACCCACCCAGACGTCATCAAATACGCTCTGCGAATGCGCAGAAAAGCGCACAGGAGCAAAGTGAGCGTGCATGCACAAGCGAACTTGTAGCAAAGGTAAGTGAAACCCACCACTGGTTGGGAGTGTGCAGATTTACTCACATATAACCTATTTTCTCAAGAAATAGGCCAGTAGGTCTCAATTTCTGAGTGAACCTGGATCTCTCCCATTTTAGAAAGCTCTGTACAGTACATAGTTAAAGGTAATATGGGATGTGGCTTCAAAATGACTCATGCTATAAAGAGCTTACTTTTTTCTACCATCCAACATTGCACTGTTCTGTCTTCCCGGCAAGCATTGGTGCATGTTAAGACACAGATGCTTTCCTGTATTAAGCATCCCATCTGAATTGGTTCAAGGTCGCAGCCTTTCCATATTCATCTGCTCGAATATTTAAGCTTGCCTCAAGTAGGTGACCCACTGCTTTCCCACAGAAATCAATAATATAGTTGCTAATGTGGAGTCATCCATGGACAAGAATTTACACTAGGTACTAACCGATGAAGAGCAGCCATTTTCCTACATTTCTCCTTTTTTTGCCAATGTGATCAGTAATCATTGTGGAACATTTTCAGATTCCAGCCCTGTATTGGGTGGCAGCCTAGAACTAACAGGTTGCAATAGGAGGATTTGTGTGGGAGGAAAAGAACTGGCATAGAAATAAGAGAGCACATAATTGACAAGAGATAATAAGGAAAATGTTCTAATACTGAGCTGACGACAGATCTGTGGGAAAAGCCTGCTCTGTGCCAAGGGAACAGCAGGACTAGAAGGAAGTCTCACTTGGTTTTATTTATTTTATTATTTTTTCTTTGAAAGAACATGTTTTATATATAGGATGAGGTTTGTCATTAAAGGGCATTTGGAAGGTTTTACATAACTGCACTTTTTTTTTTTCATAACATGTAATACTAATACTGAAAATGCTGCTACATTAATTGAAAGGAGTAAAAGTAAAAGTGGCGCAGCAGACTAAAGTGCTGTTAAGTAACACCAGCTGCCTGCAATTACTGCAAGTTCAAATCTCACCAGGCTCAAGGTTGACTCAGCCTTCCATCCTTCCGAGGTAGGTAAAATGAGGACCTGGATCGTAGGGGCAATAATCTGACTTTGTATAAAAAAGAACACCGCTTAGGGGAGGGCGAAAGCCCTACTAAGCAGGTATATACAAAAGTATGAAGGCTATTGTTTAACGCATTGTAAGCTGCCCTGAGTCTCCGGAGAAGGGCAGCATATAAATCGAACCAATCAATCAATCAATCAATCAATCAATCAATCAATAATAAATAAATCAATAATAAATAAATAAATAAATAAATAAATAAATAAATAAATAAATAAATAAATAAATAAATAAATAAATAAATAAATAAATAAGAACTTTCCCACCCGGTGGGCCAGCAAAGGCAAGCTGGAGTCTGGTAATGAATTCTTTTGACTTACCTTGAATGCCATGGTGACCTTCGTGCCTTAATCTCAGCATTCTTTCTTCGTTCACAGGTTTCTGTCCTTGTACAGTTTCTCATCGAAAATTGCTGCAGGATCTTTGGGGAAGAACTTGTCTCTGTCTTTGCAGATATTATGCCCAAACATGATAACCGGGAAGACGGTTCAGGTAACTAAAAAAAAGAAAGAAAGAAAGAAAAGTGTAGTGGGAGGGGAATGCAATATTCTAGCGTTTTAACCTAGTTTTTACAACTTGTTGTTTTGGCATTTTTTTAAAAATCAGGATTGCAATATATATTTCAGATCACACAATGGGGCTAGTCAGCGTGTGGTCAAAAATGCAAGAGATTCCTAGGAACAAGTCCCATGAAGGTGACACAAAGCCATCACTCTGCTGGAACATATCTCAGGATGTCTCTTAAGAATAGATGAAATTAGTTTAACAACTGAAAAGCATATTTGCATGTTTGTTTGTTTGTAAATTTTATTAGCTGCCCATCTTGCCACATGGTAACTCTGGGTGGCTTACCCTATTAAAAGATAACACTGTATAATTTATAATAATAGAATTAATAATACTATAACATCAACTATAATACACACACACACACACACACACACACACACACACACACACACACACACTATAACAAAAAGGGACGCGGTGGCTCAGTGACTAAGACGCTGAGCTTGTTGATCAGAAAAGTCAGCAGTTCAGCGGTTCGAAACCCTAGTGCCACGAAACGGGGTGAGTTCCCGATACTTGTCCCAGCTTCTGCCAACCTAGCAGTTTGAAAGCACGCAAAAAATGCAAGTAGAAAAATAGGGCCCACCTTTGGTGGGAAGGTAACGGCATTCCGTGCGCCTTTGGCATTTAGTCATGCTGGCCACATGACCACGGAGACATCTTCGGACAGTGCTGACTCTTTGGCTTTGAAGCGGAGATGAGCACTGCCCCCTAGAGTCGGGAACGACTAGCACATATGTGCGAGGGGAACTCTTACCTTTACCTTTAACATCAACTTAGTTAAAAAGATGAGGGGAGGGAATAAGATGAGAGGGAAAGTGGGTGGGATCTTTGTTAATCAATCAGCCACCCCCAACATGAAACCCCTCTGTTGAAGCTCCAAGTCAACTGGCAGAACCAGGTCTTTAAGGGTTAGGCCCAACACTTCTGGGGGGAGGGGGAGGAGGAAGGGGAAGTTAAGATGTTCCAGAGAACAGGTGCTAGCAGCGGCAGACTAGGCCCTTTGCTTGGACCCCACTAGCTGGAATACTCAGGGTGATGGGGCCTGCAGCATGCCTCCTGTGCTGGCATGGGTGGAGTGGGCCAATTCCAGTGGGATGAGAGTCCTCCAGATAGCCTGGACCCATCCCATGAAGGACTTTAAAGGTAATTACCAGCACCTTGAATTACACCCAGAAGCAAATCAGCAGCCAGTGCAGTTTGCAGAGTGGTGGAGTTATATGGGCCACGCTTGGGCCCCCAAAAACTGCCTACCCCTCCTGCACTCTGCACCAGCTGCAGCTTCCAAATGCTCCAGTATTGACCTCTGAAAAGTTGTAAACAAACCTCCTGTTGTTTTATTCAGTATTTTTGCTCTAGATTGAGCTGGCGAAACCTTAAAATTTGGTAACACCTGTTTTCATATTCTTGCAGATCTCTCTTCTTTTCACCTGAATGACTCCTCCTACGATAGTTTGGAAAATGAATTAAATGACTGCACAGATCCCGCATTTAACAACCTTTTTAAAAAACGAGGGAAAGAGAACAGGAGTAGAGACTCCGTTTTGACTTTGAGCGACTGTGATTTGGACTCGCCAGAAGCTGGAGATGCTCAGATTAAATTACCAATCAAATCTCAGCCAGTGTCCATTTCTGTGGGCTTCCATCACAAATCTTCGTCACGGGAGCACTCTGAGAATGAGTCTCTGTGTTCCATCACGTCAGGTTATTCATCAACGGCCATCTCAGATGTTCTGAAAAGCTCAAGAAGGCATAGGCGCTGTTCAGAGCCCACGATTGGTCTTCTTGACTCCAAGTTTACACCACTCAGTGGGTTTCATGAAAGCGCTGTACGCAAAGCCAGCTGTGATGCTGTTCTGTCCCACACAAATGAAGACTATCTTGAGCAGTTTCGTTCTCTCCAAGTAGAAGGCCAGAAACTTATAAATCAGAATTTGGTTATGGGGATAGAAGTAAGCAACAAGGATGGTCCTGAAAGTCATATCGGTGAAAAGAAAGATGTTTCTAACCGTCTCCTCCTGCCGCCACCACTTAGGTTAAATATTTGCTCAAGGACTAGCTGCTCTAGCCTCTCATCACCAGGAACTTCCCCATCAGGGTCTTCAATGAGCTCTCTTGATAGTGCTTTTTCCCAGTTTTCGGACTATTCGGTGTTTACCCCAACCGAGGCTTCCTCTCCTCTAGACTGTGCCTTTCAGCCACAGAGGAAATTTGGAGAGGTTTCTCCTGATTTTAATCCTTTTTCAGGAATTCACCTTGGATCCGGAGTTAGCGCTTTTTCTAACCAAGCCAACAATAACCAAACCAGCAGCTTGATACCTATTAAGAAAGAGAACCTGGAATGGCTTCCTCACAAAAACCCGGTCACTCTGCATCCCAGCACATGGTTGAAAAGTGGTGCTTCCACCATGAAAAACTGGACTCTACGGAAAAGGGAAAGAGCCTCCAAGCAGAATGAGAAAAATAACACTTCTGTGAAAATAACTTTGGAGTCAACAACATTTCCCTCTGAGAGTAATTTAGCTCAGGGGCAACAAGGAACGGGCAGCATTTGCGCAACGGATGGCAATTCTGTGGCGGGGCACTTGGGGAGCGGATCTTCTCAGGAAGTTGGGCAGCTCACTAGCCTTCCTTTTTGTGCCATGGAAGCCCAGGAGAAACGGCTAAAGGCCTTGGAGCTTTTAGCAGAGCATAGCAAGGAAGAGGAAGAAGAGGAAAATTCTACAGTGTTTGTTTCTTACAAACAACAACAACCCAGTCTTAAGCCACAGTCTCAAAATAAACCCAAGCCAGAGGCTGATTTGGGGGCTGACCATCAGCGGGTCATTGAGAGAAAGTTAAACGAAACCACCCGTTTCACAGGAGTTGCAGTCCAGCAAGCAGCAGATTCCAAAACTGATAAATCTTCATTGATCAGAGAGCCCAAAGATGCTGACATCAACTTGGAAAATGAATGTTGTGCTTCTTCACACTTAGTCAAGGATGAGGATGAATGTTCATTTCAAATGGCTCCAAGTAATAAAAGCTTTTCCAAAACCCCAGAAGGAACCGATGCTAATAAAATGGAATGGCTGAAAAAGTTGTGCAGTGATCCCAAATTCAAGGACACAGACCAGAAATTTTTCACAGAGGAATCCTATGTTTGAGCAACTGATATCAAAGAATGTTATTTCAATTTAACTTGGTGTTGCTTTAATATCCCAGGGGATATCGTCTCATCAGGGAACTGAGGGAAGTTGTGCTATTTGAGGGATGAGTGGAATGATTTTTCTTAGCTATATTCTTGCAATTTTTAAAGGCATTTCCTGGTATCTAGGAAGGTCACATGAAATGATTTAAGAGAAACACTTGATTGTATAACACTAGCAAACACTTGTGTACGTGCTTGCTATGTAACTTTTTAAAAATAGCTCATATATATTCTGGACATTGTAAATTTATGTTTTGTGTCCATGGTGATTTGGCTGTAATGTGTTACGATCAGCTTGGCCTTCATAGCTTTGGTATTGTATTGCTCTTTTGAAGCCAATGGTCCATTTCATTGTTCTCCAAGAAAGGATGTCTTAAACGTTTTATGAGGAATCTGTTCAGTAGTTGCAGTCACTTTCTTCCCTTACCAAGAAAGGGGGGTGGGGGATAAAGGATGACTTTTGAACTTTTTTGTAACTTAAAAGTCCAAGTTATATGTATTTCACCATTCTGTGTTCCATTTGGCTATTAATTTTTATTTGTTCCATTTTTTTTGTTTATGATGATGCTCTCCAATGGCATTACATTTTGCTGGTGGTGGTAGTGATGGCATTGCAGGCAGAGCTTACATAATTATTCTACGTGTCTTTATTATAATATATTGAAAGTAATGCATTTATCTTCCAAAAGCTTCAAGATTGTATAATATATCTTGGTATATTATTTTTTTTGCTATTGTATATGTTCTGAAATAAATGTGTATTTTTGTACATGTGGAAAATACCTTTTGAGTGGGTGGGCTCTGGCAGGGATGTGTAAACCATTCACTGAAATACAGAAGTGCATGCAGCTCCTGCTTAATGACCAAAATTGGGATCAGCAATTCTGATGCTAAGTGTTGCAGACATTAAGTGAAACATCACAGGACTGCAACAGACTTATGACGTTACTTCTGCCGTGGTTGTTAAGTGAGATATCATGTGACCCAGTGGTGGGTTGCTCCCGGTTCGCACCGGTTCGCAAGAACCAGTAGTAAAAATTTGTAGTAGTTCGGAGAACTGGTAATAACATTGGCTGGCCACGCCCCCGAACCGGTCCCCGGCCCAGTCGCCGCTTGCTTACCCCACCCACCTTATCAGAGGCTTTTTTTTAATTTTATTTTTACAAGCATTTTTTCTACAACCTCTTCGGCCGAAAAAATGCTTGTAAAAGTTTTTTTAAAAAGCCTCTGATGATCGCGCGGCTCAGCTGGGATTGTCAGAGGCTTCTGAAAGCATTTTTTTCTGCAACCTCTTCGGCCAAAGAGGTTGTAGGGGGGAAAAATGCCTTTAAAAAGCTCTGGCGATCCCAGCTGAGTTGCCTGATCATCAGAGGCTCCTGAAAGCATTTTTTTCTGCAACCTCTTACGGTTGTAAAAAAAATGCTTTAAAAAGTTTTTAAAAAAACAGTTGGCCACACCCACCCAGTCACATTACCCCCACCACCACCAAGCCATGCCCATAAAATAAGCCATGCCCACAGAACCAGTAGTAAAAATTTTTAGAACCCACCCCTGATGTGACCGCACCTTGCAATTACAATGCCGGTTTCTCCGTTGACTCTGCTTGCGGAAGCCAGCTGTGAAGTGCACAAAAGATGATCACGTGACCCAGGGATGCTATGACAGTTATAAATACAGTGGTACCCTGGTACTCTTTGTTAATTGGTTCTAAGAGACATACTGAGTACTAAAAATAAGTACCAAGCAAACCATGTGACTTACCACATCACCCTTTGTTTTGGCCAGGAAGGACTTTCTGTCTCTTCCTTTTCCTATGTCAGAGACCCTCCCAGCATGGCCGACTTCCTGTTCGCCCTCTGCGACCATCCCCCACTTCCTTTTCCAGTGACGTTCCCAGCATAGCCGATTTATATCAAATCAAGACCAAATCAAACTAGAAAATTAAATTGAATTAAAGTTAATGTGGTAAATCATTTAAAAATTCTCATTTTTTTGGTCACATGAAAACTACAAATTGGCAGCATATTTTGGAATAATTATTGAGTATGGAGTGTTTGCTGGTTGTCGATTTAAATAGGTCATCAGTCTTAATTTTTGCAACCCTGTGATTTCTTCTTTTGCATTCCCAGTTTCCTTCAGGACAGCTCTTCTTCTACTGTGAACTCTTGCCTTGAACTGCTTGAATGGATTATTCAGTTGATGAGGCAAGAAATCAGCCAGTAAAACAACTTCTTCTCGGCTTGTTTCCTTTTTTTTAAAGTTGTGCTAAAGAAGACAAAAGCTCTGACATTGACATTGGGAAGCTGTAATTCTGGCTCCTATTGCTTTGGTGTTTTGTTGTGGAGGGGAAAACTCATAGTCTTCAGACCATTGAGAATTTAAGAATAATTATAATTTCTCATCCAAGAAGTAGTGCTGCTTTGTGGGCTCAGGGCTGCCCACATACCATGTGTTTTCTCGCCCAACAGTTATCTGAGCATATGGAAGGAACTTCTATTGATCTGTTCATAACGGAACATGCTGGGTAATTTTAAAATTTGAGCGACTGAAAAGTAGTCACGCCTCTTCAGAGGAGAGTCCCCACAATCTGGGGTTTTAAATTATTTTGCTTTTAAATTGATTTTAAACCACTGTTTGTTTCCTTTAAACCAGATGGATAAACTTCAGGAAGGTGGTATCTTTTCTCTTAAAAACCTATGATTCACTAACAAGCATCCCGTTCAAAAATGGGACCAGGGCAATTAGACTGTTTATCCATTGTACCTGAGATGGTCAGATTTGTATGTGGCAGGAATAAAACTGCTCATTTTAATAGCGTGGAGATGGCATTATCTTTGTTTTCTTGTAAGTACTATAAAATAACCCCTATCAGTAAATCTCAAGCTTACTTATTTAGAAAAGTTATATGGTGTATCCATCTTAGCTACAGACTTTGGGCAGATAACAACAGTCAACAAAAAGCAATATGGTATAATAAAATTTTCAAATGTCATAAGCTCCTTTCATTTCAAGAGGGAATTCAACAAACTTAACCTGGATCCTTTGTGAATTTCTACTCTTCCAAAAATAATTCAAACACAAAAAACATTGAACATTTCAAAATGTTTCACAGAATGGAAATCCAAAAATAATAAACTTTATTCTTCCATTTTTTTATGAGTTCAGGCAAAGGACTTCATTCAGAAAGCAGAATATTTGCAGTGTTGTTCAAGAACTTCATATTATGTTACCAGAGATTAATTGCTTCTTTGCTTTTAAGCGAACACATATTCCTGAAAATGATGCCGAAAAACAAGATCAAGAAAATATGGCTGAATTCAGTAGACACTACAGCTACTTATCTTTATGTTAATGAACCAATGCTAGTATCACCTAAGGCAGATGTCGGCAACCCGCAGCTCCAGAGCTGCATGCGGCTCTTTTGTCCCCCTGCTGTGGCTCCCTGTTGGCTGAACCCACCACTGGCTGGCCCCGCACCTCATCCTCCCCTCCCAGTCACTCCTCGCCTGGCCTGAGAAGGTAAGGGCAACGGCGGGGGATGGAGACTCGCTCCATATTCCAGAGCGGGAGTATGGCCCCTGTACTTACTGGGTCTTGCGGGCACTTCTTCTGGCCCTTATTGGTGCTGTGTGCACCTTAGTTGCTCGGGGAGGCGCGTGACTTGCTGTCCGCCCTGAGACACTAGCCCGGCTGCGGCTGACACCGCTGCTCTTGCCACCTCCATAGCCTGCCCGCTGCTCTCGCAGCACAAATTTAGCGCGCTTCACAATGGGGGAGACAATATCACAAAAGTGTGCACATATTTTTGCTACTTTGCTTATTGTTCCAGAAACTCAGGCATATGTCAGAATGTCAAGAGTCCTTTAGTTACATTTTTAAATTTAGACTTTGAGTACTTCCAGAGAAGAAGGCTTAGGCCCAGGAATCAAAAGATACCATACAGCTGTTTCATTTTTTCCACTTTAATATATTTTTTCTAAACTGAAAAATGGAAGAAAATAAGAGGAAGGTTACAAATAAAAGACACGATTATCTCTGTACCAGAAATTTTTTTTGTTGGGATGAAAAGATGACACAATAAAAGCCTGGAATTAATTAACCAATTTTTTTTTTCCAGTTACAAGACCCCCACCCCCAAATCCATCCTGAATCGCTAGAGAATTTATGACATTTCAGATGATGCTAATTGAGAATGACTGCATTCACACATTGTGCTAAGCCATGATTTAACTAATGAAAGTGTTGTAAATAAATCATGTGGCAATGCAACATGTTATCTCAATCGCTACAACTTGAAATATACGGACCATATACATAAGTGGGAAGGTAGCTGAGCCATCATTTCTCGGACATCTGAAAGGTTTTCTTTCACCCAGAGAATGCCTGTGGGCAGTGAGTTCTATAGCCTCATGAGCTGTAACTGGCAGATGTTTCGAATAAATAAAACTCAAACTTACCAAGAGGAGTTTTAGAACACTGCACATCATCAAACAATCCTCAGTCTTTAGGTATCTAAAGGAAGGCAAGTGATCAAATAATGATATTGCAGTGCAAACTGTGCCCTTTCTTTGCAGGTCATGTGCCAATGCAAATACAAAAGGGCAGAGTCAGTGGTAGGTTGCTCCCGGTTTGGACCGGTTCGCAAGAACCGGTAGTAAAACCGGTGGGAGGCTCCGCCCACTGACCTGGACGTCATCATAGATGATCTGCGTATGCGCAGTAGAGTGCGCGCAGGCGCAGTGCAAACCAGTAGTAAAGGTAAGTAGAACCCACCCCTGGGCAGAGTGTGTGTCATGACATCACGTTTTCTCATTCTGGCACCACTATGGTTAGGAACAGATGGCTATATTACTGCACAAAAAGGGTTGCTGACCCTCTGATAGCTAGCTTTTTAAGAGCATCTTTCTCAATCTGAAACCCATTGTAGGAATTGAACTAGTATGCTTGTGATCTCAAGTTCCAATTTACAGAACATTAAAGTAAACCTACTGACAGAGATGCTAGCAGTTGTATGCCAACAGCTTCTGGATGATCAGTTTCTCGGGAGTTACCAGCTTGAATTCCAAATTACTTGGTGTCTACAAAGGGAAAAGAAGAACTTGTTGCCTTTCCACTTTGACCCCAGACATTTCTGATTTCCTTTTGTGGGACAGAGTGATCTGCATGGACTTAAAAGTATGTATACTTCTTTATGACTTTTTAATCACAACTTCAGTCATGAGAAATGTCTCTTGAATTCAGGAATTGCCTGGTGCCATTATTGTAGATGGATTCAGTTTGTTTTCCATGATTTGCCATTATAAACTTCATTCCAATAAAATGCAATATTTCTTTAAACATGGTATAGTAAATCATATCTCAGTCATAAAGCAACAGAGATATAACCCTAGAAGTCCTATGGCCTACTACCTTCAAATAGTATCCTCAAATACTTAACACCTTCTGCTTTGAAGTCTCTAAAAGGGATTGACAGCTTTTCTAAAATTAGTCGAATTTTAGACTGACTAAATGGCCGGCAATTAGGCCACAACCAAAAACAGTTTTCACCCTCCATCCTTCACAACCATATACATAGCATCTTTTCTTACCCTGCTCATATTGGGCATGCAAATTCTATCTACAGCCTTCACAAATACAACCAAAACCCAACCAATAAGGCGCAATATTGGTACTGTAATCAACAACATCATGAATTGGACATAGACACCAATGGGCAGCCAATGCAGCAGCTTTTGTTATCCTGCTGTAATAGCTATAATTTTCAAGTCATCTTCAAGGGCAACCTCATGCATAGCAAATTGTAATGGTCCAAATGTGATGTCATTGTGGCAAGAGTCATTGCTGCTACAACCTCCTATGCCAGGGGTGTCAAACTCACGTCGTCACAGCAGTGTCACGTGATGTATCAGGACTTTTTTCCCCTTTGCTAAACCAGGCAGGGGGCGGGGCCAGCATGTGACACATCCGGACCGCAGGCTGCGAGTTTGACAGTCCTGTCCTATGCCATCGCCATCTCCTTTAAGAATGATGGATGTCATCAACCCCTCTCACATTACTTCTAAAACTCACTTCCCTAGCAGCTCCAATAAGCTAAGATAACCTCTCATATGAATCCTCAGAACTAATAGCAATAGCACTTAGACTTATATACCACTTCATAGTGCTTTTACAGCCCACTCTAAACGGTTTACAGAGTCAGCCTATTGCCCCCAACAATCTGGGTCCTCATTTTACCCACCTCGGGAGGATGGAAGGCTGAGTCAACCTTGAGCCTGGTGAGATTCGAACTGCCGAACTGTTGACAATCAGCAGAAGTAGCCTGCAGTACTGCACTCTAACCACTGCGCCACCACAGCTCTTCGATAAGAGATTCACATGCTGGAAAATGTTTTTTTTTCCCTTGTGAACCTTGAACTACAAATCAGGAGATCATTTACCTTTCAAAAAGCAACATTCATTTTCTCTATCTTTAAGCAGTCTTATTATTTATTTTTATTTACTGTATATGAATCTCTATCCTATCCTTCAAGAGAAGACCATTTCCCTGTCAGTTTATAGAAAGCAGAATTCTTATAAAACAGAGAATGGATATCGTCACTGAAAGTGCATCCGCAAATTGAAAGAGGTGTAACAGTTCATCAAGATTACAGTCCTGAACTTGTAGTTTCTGTGCTTGTTTACTTTTGATTTATAGGCTGTGTAAATCAATATGTCTTCCACCCATTTATGGTATACAATGCTGAGAAAATGAACTGAATGTTTTGGACTCAAAGTCCAATTCAGGGACAGCTCATTTTAGAAAAGATTAGGAAACAAAATAAAGTTTTTAAAAATACTTTTTAAGGAATTACTTGGTGTACTAAGAACATCAAATACTACTAGATACTGCAGTATTACTTTATTTATCTTTGCTTCAGTCACTACATTTTCCTTGATAACACTAGACTAAAATTGAACTCATAACATGGGAGATAATAAACAAAATGCATTATTTCTAAAGTAATACACATTCTTTTTGAATACTCTGTCTACATCTATCAGCATTAGTTTTAGCAACATGTCATTTAACATATAGTTCTAATTTCATTCTAAGTTATAGTTCTAATTTAAACTCTAGAGCTGTATAGCATTCTGGGTTAGACAGAAAAGGGTGTTTTGGACATTGTGTGAACTCCAAGTCAATTCCCTAAAGAGATTGTCTTTTCTTGAGAAGACAAACACAATGTGATCAGGGGAAAAATCGTATTTGATTTAAAAGGTTGTCAAGAGGTGCTATTTACCCATATCTGCTTTGAATTTAACAACAGCAGTGATTGGCTTAGCAGCTGTGGCAAAAAAGGTCGTAAAACGGGGCACAACTCACTTAACAACCGCCTTGCTTAACAACAGAAATTTTGAACTCATTTGTGGCCACAAGTTGAGGTCTACCTGCAGTTTGGTACAAGTATGGTACAAATATCCATGTTTACTGCTTCAGAACTTAATTAGCTCATCTTAACTAGCAGATGTGAAGGTCATATACAAGGGGAGGTCAAAAAAGATGCCCAGATGGTGTCCAGATCACAACTGAAGCTGCTATCTTGTTTTTTGTTTTTGTTTTTTTGTTATCTTGCAGATGACCCTGCAACTTTACCTTTTATTTACTAGCAATGGCAATACTGAACTAAATTTCACAATTTTGCTAGGTTGTTTTATGTGCCTTTTTAAAAGAATTGCACCAAATTCATGTTTAATATTGAATTTCTGTGTGCAACATGGGGCTTCTATAGGAAAGGGAAAACTTCCAGTCGGGCTTCAGGCCTGGGTACAGCA